GTACGATCGAGCAATTTTTGACAGAGTTATGCCCCTTGGACTAAGAAAAAATCAAATTATTAGGGAGGGGGCATAAGTGTTTCACAAACATCTCTCTTTATTATTGTGTTCGGTTTATGACTGTTTTCGTCGATTATCTTTTACGTGGTAACAAGCTTTGCTGATATGTATATTTTGATGGTTATTTTTTCTTGATGCTGGATATATAATGAACAGGCAGAACTTTCCGATGGGGACACCTATATTGGTGACAAAATAAATAAAAATCGAGAATTGTTATCCCTTACCTACCCGGTCGAAAGAGGCATCGTGACGAACTGGGATGACATGGAAACAATATGGCGGTATGCTTTTGAGCGGGAACTGCAGATCAAATCTGAAGATAGGCCTGTTTTGATGGCAGATGCTACTCTAAATCCAATAGGAAACAGAGAAAAGATGATACAGGTAAGCTAAGATATATATATATATATATATATATATATATATATATATATATATATATATATATATATATATATATATATATATATATACATATTATGGCATGTCAAACGTTGCAATATTTGATCTTTTCCATTTGTATTGTATAACTTTCCATTTGTATTGTATAATTTTTATTTGTATTGTATAATTTTTCATTTGTGTTGTATAATTTTTCATTTGTATTGTATAATTTTCCATTTGTATTGTATAATTTTTATTTGTATTCTATAATTTTCCATTTGGATTTTATAATTTTCCATTTGGATTGTATAATGTTTATTTGTATTCTATATTTTCCATTTGTGTTGTAAAAAAAATAATTTGTATTGTATAATTTTTATTTGTATTGTATAATTTTCCATTTGCATTGTATAATTTCTGATTTGTATTGTATAATTTCTTATTTGTATGCGATAATTTTTCATTTGTATTGTATCCGAGGATTATTTATTTATTTCGTTACGAAGGATGTCATTGGTCATAAAATTTAGTCTGTATAAAGGTCTCAGGTGCCCATCACAAACTTAGTCTGGTACCCTTCCCACAGTTCCGATCGCGCATTCTCTACAAACACAAACTCGGCTCCTCTATTTGCAGTGCATGCTAAGGGACGACCATTTGATTCTCGGGGGGTGTCGAATCTGATTATTTATTTTCATTATCTCGCAGGAGAGAATATTTATTTCCAATATGACCAGAGACAAGGAGAAAAACAAAAAGAAGAAAATCCGCCCAAACCCGAAAACTCAGTTTTTTGGGGGTGGGGGTAGGTTCCACCACTCAAGGTCAATTTATTTATTTTCTCAGTCAGCATTTCTAAGGACAGATTATTTATTTGCCATCTACCAGCGCTCCTTTTTTAGAATCCAATGACCGTCTAACATGCACGCAAATACATATATCGCCGAAATATGGCTGAAATATTGCCGACTCGGCGTTAAACAATAATCAATCAATCAACCAAGCAAATACATATGAGCCCAGTTTGCTTTGAGCATCCGGAACATCTTCAACCCGATACAGGCTGAAACTTGACCAATGAAATCCTTCGTAACGAAACAAATAAACAGTCCGCGGATACAATACAAATGAAAAATTATCGCATACAAATAAGAAATTTTACAAAATAAATAAGAAATTATACAATGCAAATGGAAAATTATACAATACAAATAAAAATTATACAATACAAATGAAAATTATACAATACACATAGAAAATTATAGAATACAAATAAAAATTATACAATACAAATGAAAAATTATACAATACAAATGGAAAATTATGCAATACAAATAAAAATTATACAATACAAATGGAAAATTATACAATGCAAATGGAAAAGATCGAATATTGCAACGTTTGACATGCCATAATATATATATATATATATATATATATATATATATATATATATATATATATATATATATATATATATATATATATATATATATATATATATATATATATATATATATAATTGAAAAATAATGTTTGTTCCAAAGTTTCAACAGGTATAGAACAATGAAATAATTCTTTAAGCATTTGACAATAAAATTCAATTCAGGTTTCCCAACTCACCCTCAAAAAAAAAATACGTACAAAACCTCATAAACTGCAACTGGTGCGTTACTTTTAGAGATATGAAGTTTTACAAAACAATAAAATCATCGTAGAAAAACTTTGTTAAAGGTTATGATGGAATCTTTTCTCGTTCCTGCCTTCCAAGTAATGAACCAAGGGATCCTGTCCATGTACGCAAGCGGACGTACATCAGGCACCGTTGTGACTGTGGGAGAAGGAGTATGTCATGTTGACCCTATTTATGAAGGTTATTTTCTTTCCTTAGACTCTTTGATTATTTCATTGCCCGAGTCACTCAGATGACTTATTGCTATATGTGTCTGTCGTCGTGTGTCGGTCTAAACTTTTGAACATATGTACCAATTTCTACCAATTTTGGGATATAGCATCTATGGGTGTAAGGGAACAAAAATTATGAATTTCATCATCCCCTCCCCTCCCGGGACCTGACGTATCGGACAAAAAAACCTTAACAATTCATATAATCTTTAAAAGTCTTCTCTTTACTTCTGGGCATCAAGCAGTCAAACTTTTGGTATGATGGTAAAATGCATTGAACCCTCTACCAAAAACTGTGAAATTCATGCCCCCGGGGTGAGGGGTTCTGGAGTTAGGACTGGGTTCTAAAATTATTTAGTAAATGTGTAAATTTTTCAAAAACCTTCTCTGCCCTTGTATATGTAGCAAACATATAAAGTGCATAGAAAATTCGATATGAAAAGCAAGGGAGCCTCTTCCAAAATTATGAAATTCAGGGCCCTAGGTCAGGGGTTCTGGTATACTGAAAATGCACAAATTCTTTTGAAAATCTTCTTTTGTGCCAAAAGCACACAAACCAAGTGCATAGATATGATGAGCAAGGGAGCCTCTTCCAAAATTGTGAAATTCAGATATTCTGGAGTTAGGACATAGTGATGTATTATTTTTCTTTAAATCTTCATCTTTGCTCACTCCCAGGTATTAAGCAGACAAACTAAGTGTATGGGTATGATGGGCAAGAGTGTCTCTTCCAAAATTGTGAAATTCATGGGCCCCTGGGACATGGGTTCAAAGGGGGGGAGGGGGGGCTCTATTATGATCATTTATTGAATGTTTACTCTGCCCTGGGAGAAGTTCTTCCCGTTTGTTTTTCTCTTGTAATAATTAAACACTGTAACAAAGGTAATTGATCGGTAAATTAAATGAAATAACTATACAAGATTTGGTAAAGTACCTTCATAGATTTTGCTTGTCAGTGATACTTGTAGATAACAAATAAATAAAATTGAAAAAAAAAGTTATATATGTACATTAAATATAATTCAAAGACCATGAGCTTGCGACGTTGTATCCTGCAATGACTGTATGAGGTATATACGTTTTTTGCAGTAAAACATGTATCTCGGTGCATTGTATAAAATTTGCCTGATTGTGTTATATATTCATCTAAGCCGATAGTTTGGACTTTCGCATTTTGCTGGCTAACAAGGAAACTACTTCTTCAGCCACTATCACTGTAAGTTTACATCAGCAATGGCCTATTTGGTTGCATCGTGTAGCGTCAAATAAATGGCGTCTATATATAACATTTCCTAACATAATATTTTCTGTCATTTCTGTAGACAGTAACACACCTAATACATGTAAAAGTAGTGCCTCGGAAGTAAGCGTCCAGTTATAACCTTCTGGAATGCCCAGCATAGGTCACTGACAGTTTAAAACAATTTGTCCTATAGCAGCCAATCATGCTTGTCATCGTCTACTGAGAGTCCTAACTCCAAAGTATCGATGAAAAAATATACAGTGTAGTTGTTTGAAATGTATTTTCGCTCTGTTCTAGCTGTACCGGACCTCCTTGGTAGAAGACGAGTGGAATTGGCAGGACGAGATTTAACGTTACACCTACAGAGACTCTTACACAACAAAGGGTACTCCTTCACCTCATCAGGTACGGAATTACAGTTCGATCATACACTAGACAAAATTGCTAACGCACCACTTATTATTCTTATTTGTGAATTGATCATTTTCCTGATTGGTACTAGTATATAAAATATGCCTATTTTTCCAAAACAGTTGGATTGACAAATGTCTTGGTGTCATGTCAAGACCCTTAAAGGACCTTCTTGTCCGAAAATCAATTTCCCGACGTGCACTGCGCACCGTTTTTGCCAAGATATGAAGTTGGTGATAACCGATGGTGGTCCATGACGTTGCGACGGGAGCAGTCTCCCACTTAAAAATCAAATGATATACCCTGATTGACTACCATATCGCTTAGTAGTCATCCAGTGCCTTGGTGTCCTTACCAAATCCACCCAACTTCCGGTTGCCCCAATTTTGTGGAACAATCTTGATATTATTGTGTGGTGCTCACTTAATGCCGTCGATATCTATTGTAAACATTTTTATGATCGTTAATTCATTTTCAACAATTTTTCACCAGAGAAATTCATAATCATTTAATTCTTTTAATTTTTTACAAATTTCTTCAAAGGAACCCCATGCAGACACCATACTGGCTGCCTTAGCACGCTCTTCTAGAGTCAAACGCCGCATACGGTGTGACTTTTTTTCTGAGTTTTTAATTAGTACAAACACGAAGAACACAACCACAAAGAAAAAAATAGAAATTAATTCCACCAAAAAAGTATGAATGTGATTTTAATTTTTTCTATGAAGTGGTTACGCTTCAGTAAACGTTGTTATTTATCAGTTAAAGCATTTAAATGTCTCATTTTTTACTAAAGTAACATAATTATATATCAAAAAGATCATAAACAAGTTTTGAAAAGAAAAATGTTAATTTATTTAGGTGGTGCGTTAGCAATTTTGTTTAGTGTACTTAATAAAGCAGAATTTAAGTGACTCACTGGTTACTGAATGTTCTTTTGATGCTGATTTTGATGCTTTTGATGCTGATATTGGTCTGGGAAATCAAGAAGCAGGATGATGTTGATTCACTGGTTACTAGATTTTCTTCTACAGCTGAGATTGAATTGGTCAGGGATATGAAGGAGAAGTTGTGTTACGTCAGCTTTAATGTAGAGAAAGACAAAATCACCTCTGCTTCCTCCCCAGATCTGGACAAATCCTACACACTACCTGATGGGAACAAACTCACGCTGAGCAACGAAAGATTTATGTGTCCAGAAGCTTTGTTTCAACCGTCATTGTTAGGTAAATTAAACATAATATCTGGAAATCATATTTATATACACGTATCTCTACGTTTCCTTTTGACCGAGGCAAGTTAGTGAATTTTATGGTGTTTTTCAATGTGATGGCAGAACTTGTATTTTCAAAATGAACATATTACATACAAGAGAGACAGAGAGCACCATGGAGATATATAGAGAGAAAGAGGATATCTAAATTGTGTAATTTTATTTTTACTTTACGAGTTGAAATGGTTTAGAATTCATTATGCCTTCTAAGTGAATGTATGCCATTTCAACGATGTTGATAAAGAATATCTGAAATCGCAGAATTTGTTTATTAGGTAAAGAATCAAAAGAGACCAAAAACAAACGAAACAGAATTGACCGAAACCAAGCAAAACTGAAAAACTAACGAAATTTGTATTGATCAAACAAGAAAACTGTGCATCGGTATTTGATTTAGATGAACGGTGTTGCCATGGTTTCTAAAAATAGTTCTGAATTTCTGTGAAATTCTTTCAAAACGCTACTCCGCTTACAGTTTTGGTCTAATTTCAATATCATAACTTGGCACCCAAGTAGATACATAAAGGAACATTATGATAATTTTATTCATCGGTTTTGATTTCGATGAAGGGTTTTGCCAATAAATCTTGCTACAAAAAGGGACTAAACCAAGGATCATTATTCTCTTTATGGCTGTTGTATGCTTTCAAATACAAGTGCTACTTTTCTCATCCTTTGTTATAAGTACAAACTAGTAGAGCTACAGTCTCGTCAGAGACCTCTATTTTTTTGTTTTAATTTTTGCCGTAAAAAATACTACTATGCAAAACACTAATATAAGATATCCCACTGAAAATCTTTATGAATTAGAAATCAAAATCAATAACTTATCCTTTCAGGTCTGGATTTTAAGGGAATTCATCACTTGGTGACAGACAGTATCCTTGCCTGTGATATATGCACTCGCCGAGACCTATTTCATACCATTATACTATCAGGAGCATCCACCATGTTTCCAGGTGCTTTTAAATAAAATTGATTTTTTTATTTTACTCTCCAGTACACACGTACAGAAAATTAAACAGAAAATGAAGTACATGTAATAATTTGTGTTGTTAGAAACATTCATCTATTCTTTATTTCTTTATAAGGATTCCACGAGAGATTTATGCATGAAATCACAGGTTTGGCGCCTCTACCTTCAAAAGTTATTGCCCCTCCTGAGCGGAATAAATCTGCCTGGTTAGGAGGATCCATTGTAGCTTCCTTATCGTCATTCGATAAACACCTCATCTCAAAACAGGAGTATGAAGAGTTTGGACCCGGGATAGTTCATCGAAAATGTAGATATTATTGACTGGTCAAAGTCGGAACTTGCTCCAAGAAACTTTGAATAATATATGAGACATAAACTTGGGCTTTTTGTACTTTCCAGAGATAATGCACTTTCACCGAAAATATCATAAAGAAATGTATGTGCAAGTGATTTTGAAGTTAAAAAAAAGCTAGTGATTTGCTAATGATCTGTCACTTCGGCATGTTAATTTAGTAATCATGACATAAGCATCAAATTAAACAAAAAAACATGTACAGTTTTATTTATCTTGATAGGGCTGTCTAAGTATTCAAATGCCCATATTAGTGTTTAATGAAAAAAAATGAATTAATGAGAATTCCTACTTAAATACTTGATCAGCTTGATATTTTAACTTGTATTTGTGATCTACTTTTCAAAGAGATTGTAATTTTATCGTCATCTTCTCACTTTACAATTTTATATAATCCAGTCATTTAAGATTTACGGAGAAAACAGGTTTTGAATATAAATATATGATTCTAAAAATCAGAATTATTTTCTTAAAATTTATTCGAAATATACATAAATATGCACACAAAACAATGCCGTAAAATTCTGTCTTCCTTATATGAGTAAGTTAAACAAAACAATAGGGGAATGAAAGAGTTAAATTATTGGGGTTTATTTTTAAAAAATAAATAACAATGATATAAGGATTACAATTTCTTGAATATTTGTAAAATCGTATGTGATTTTTATTCATTGAGTAACTAAAATACCAAATTCTGCATTTATGTGAAGAATTCATATAGGCTACCTTTGGAACATTGGAATGCTGCTGAAAATTCAGGAAGATTTTAAAGCATGCCTGTCACCCTGAAAAAGCAGATTCACCTAGCTTACCATAGTTTTAAAAAAATCAATTCAGTTTGAAAGGAATAAATGTGAACAGTTATTGAATTAAAAAATGTAGTTGACTAAGTTTACTTAAGACATTCAAATTAATAAAAGTGTTTATGGTTTTAATTAAATTTTGAATGAGATTCATGAGTCAATGCTTTTTTTTAAACATTGCTTGGTGTTAAGTTTGATCGTTCTCCGAAGAAGAGTAAATGGCTAATAATGACCTGAATCGGGACGGACTGTGCGCCGAAGGCGTTTATGCATAAAATTATCACGCATGCCAATCGATTGATCACATCATGAATCCAAAAAATAAGACAGTTATTTCTTATATTTAAATGCTCCTGATTCTGCAAATTCCCGTGCTAATAGCCCCGCTACTGTCTCTATTTGTCCCGCCCCGCACGTGATTTTTTTTAACCGCGCTTATCGATGAACCAGTAGATTTATGTAGAAATAAAGTATTTTTACAATTTGTAATTTTATCTCGGACAAAGACATTGGAAATGTAAATATTATACAATGAATGGAAGGAAAACGATCACTAAAGGGGTATTTTGTAAATAGATTTCTTAAAAATGTTATCAACTTATCTGGGCTAAAAATTCTAGTTGTGGAAATGCCCATATATTTCTAAAGGTGTCAAATAAATGGTTTTCTTGGTTTTATGAAATACTACTACTAATAGTGATTAACTTTGTTGAACCCCGCCGTTATCAGCAATGTTTTCACCCAGTGTAATTATTCCATTAACCTATCAATACAAAATACTCACAAAAGTAATATGTTGACGGTGTGACCGTTAGGGCGAGCGCAGATACTTTTATAAACTGTAATTTGACCCATCTCTTCAAACCGCACGTGACATATTGTACGTCTAGACTCTGACGTCACAGGACGTCATAATGTAAGTTGCATTACGAAACCAAAGCCTGAACGCTAGCATGTTTTAATGAAGAACGTTTTTTATCCCATGTTTACCCCTTTATCCTGTGGATATGACTCATTGGATATTTTTTTCATATCCCACAGTTAAGTGCAGTTGTGACGTCACAATGGTTTTTGCGTTAGCGTGATGACGTAAAATAAGGTGGAGTCCTATATAAAGCAGTGTAAAACATTTGTTGTGAAGTATTAAACATGGGATAAAAAGAATCTCCCATGATTTGTAGTTGGATATGACTTTTATCCAATTCGTTGTGTGTTTTTATCCCCTCGCCAAAAATGATTTTGATAAAAAAAAAACAAAACACACAACTCGTTGGATAAAAATCATATCAAACTACAAATCATGGGAGATCCTATATATATACTATTTATCGGCTATATATCCATTAAATCAAGACCAGTTTATTTTTTGTTGAACTTTTGTTGTCATTCTCGCGAGAACGTAGCTTAAACAAGCGATACATTGTGGGTCCAAAGTTACTGCGGAAAAAATTCTATTGAATGAATGTGCAGTAGTCCGAATTTTCTCTTCGCCCAGGCGTTGTCGTTAGAGCTTCGCGCCGCTCGCTGCGCTCGCTATATATTAAAAACATTAAAGGAGATGGGCGAACAAGTCAAGAAAAATACCTATGGTTCGACCAAAAAAAAAAATGTGAAAAATAAAAATCTGAATTAAGACACAATTTTCTTTCATATTTCAATTAACATTAATGCATACTTTATGTAAAGTTTTTAAAATTTGAACTAATCTCACAAGTGTTAAAATTATTCAACTATCAAATATCATGCACACACCAAAGGGGCAAAAATGATCAATTCTTCATACTTTTACACAATTTTTCTACATAAATGGGTCTCCGCTCCATTTTTTAACATATATCTCCAAAATATGTGTGGTGTAGTGGTTAGTGTGTTTATCTCTACGGGAAAAACTGATACTAAGGATTTTTCGTCGTCCCAAGCCACGGTCCGGAGTCCGCATAATGTAGCTCTCTCCTACCCGTTCGAAATGGGAGAGGATCGTACATTTTCTTTTTTTACGTTCTGGTTTGGGATGATTAGAATTTTTAAGGTTTGGATTCAAATCCCAAGTAATTCCTACTTTTTTTAACCACAGAATATTTTTAAAAGGTGTCATAAATTCATATATTACGTTCCATTTCCATTAGTGAACTCTTCAAAATTAGAGGCGCGTTTGGTCGTCTGACTGAGACAGCATGGCGTTGCGGATAATACAAAACCTGCCAATCTCAATCCAATTTTAAATGATAAATGTATTTGTCATTCCAATTAAAGAATAGAAGAACTTAAAGACATATGTAAGAGAGCGAGAACCCTAAATTTATCATCCATTAATAAAAAATACGACATTTCCGAGGCATTAGTATTGTATTTAGATGTACCCAACGATAAATACATACATATGATCAACAATAGATATAAATTGATATCGTTGCCATTCCTACTCTTGATGTATATAAAGTCCACAACAATAAAATATTTCATTTGCATTTTATTAGGATTTGTTGATCGACATTCAATATATTGTCTACATGTTTATGTTACGTTTGTCCCAGAAATCCCGCGAGATTTATACATTTTCCGACTTTTTTACAAAAGAGCGCACTAAGAAGTATAACTCTTCCATAGTGGAAATAGAATGTTCTAAATACTTGGTTCACAAATTGAATTTAATTTTACACATTTGAAGCTATAGGCATTACAAATGTATTTCGTCCATCTTATTTGAATGATTTTTATAAGATGTAATTCAGTTTTGAAAGTTCGTGAATTGCGTGTTTTATAAGTAATAGCAAATGATAGTGTAAATCTGTTGCAATATCATGGTAGTTGTAAATGAGCAAATTCAGAGAATTGTGGTTCCCCGCTTTCGAGGTCTTATTAGTTGGGGCGCAATGATTTGTAGCATATTGGAATATGAAAAATAACCCCCTCCCCCGCTTTTTTTTTTAATAAAAAAAATTATAACCAATTTAAATTTTTTGAAAAGCGTGTCAAACTTCATAGTCAAGGTGTCAGAAGTTATGGAATATTAGGAAAGGTCTTTTCACAGGTAATGCACATGTGAAATATGAAAACCATGCCTTTTCTCCTTCAAAAGTTTTTACCATTTTAAACATTTCTGAAAAGTAGTCAAGTCATGGGGTAAAAAATTATGGTATGTTCGAAAATGTTTTGTCATAGATAATGCACATGTGAAATATGAAAGCCATATCTTTTCTCTTTCAAAAGTTATAACTTTCAAAATTTCTAAAAATTAGATCAATCTTCAGGCTTGAGGCCAGAGGGTAAAAAATTATGGCATATATTCAGTAAGGTCTTGTCACAGGTAATGTACATGTACATGTGAAATATGAAAGTCATATCTTCTCTTATTCGAAAGTTATGACTGAGGTTAAAGTTTTTGTGACAGACAGACAGATGGTCAGACAGGCAAATGAGATGTTAATGCCCCCAAGCTTTCGCGAAAGCGGGGGACAAAACATGGTAAAGTTCACTATAGAAATGTTATGGAATCTGAAATATATATTTTCAGAGTTGTTCATCATGGCAACTTTTTTGCAAACTTCTGCAGTTACATATACACGTGTAGGGTACAAAACTTTGGCATTCAGAAGTAAGAAAGCATATACTTTAAACATTTCTTTGCTTTGTTTAATCCCAAACGTCCTGAAACTGAAAATGAATCACAGGAATGAAGCAACAAAAATGTTTCTGACATCAAACAGGTCACACGTACGTTCATTCCGTCAGCTTCCGGGTGGGTAAGAGAAGTTCCCATACTGATCAATGAAGCATGTTGTGAATTCTTTGAATTTATCCACTGACTTTTGACTCCACCATTCATATAGATCCCCATCCTTATTGAAATGTATTGTATATCTATAAAAATATTTTTCTTTTTAAATTAACAGTTTAGTATTCAAAGAGGATGTCATCAGGGAGATCCCGTGGCACCATATCTGTTTCTTCATTATGCAGAGATTCTTGCAATTAATATAATTAAACAAAATCAAAGCATTAAAGGAATTGTAATTAACAAGATCCCAATATGCAGATGATACCTGGCTTGCCCTTGATGGTTTACCTGAATCACTTTTTTCCGCATTAGATACAATTGATTTTTTCTCAAAGTTTACAGGACTTAAGATTGTTTCAAAAAAGCTCTTTAATTTTTTTTTTTATCATTCTTGTTGGAAACTAGAATGAGGTTGCACAACTTTTAATTTACTTGGAATTCATTTTTCAGTAGAACTAGATAAAATTATTGATATAAACTATAATGTGCAAATACCAAAAATCAAAGCATTAATTCAACAATGGGAAAGAATGATTCTAACTCCTATTGGAAGAGTCACAGTCCTGAAAACATTAGTTTTACCAAAACTTAAACATCTTTTTATATCTGTACCAAATCCAAGTAAAGAAATTTTATCGTCATTGAACAAAGAAATCTTTGAGTTTATATGGAAATTAAAATGTGATAAAGTAAAAAGGAAAATTATTGCTCAAGATTTTATTCATGGAGGATTAAAAATGTTGGATATAAATAACTTTATCATATCTCTTAAGTGCTCCTAGATTAAAAGATTAACAAAAAGCAATCAACCATGTTTGATATTTCTTGGCAATAAATGGTAAAGACATATTGCATAAACTTTTTGATTTTGGTGAAGAGGTTGTGTCTTGTCTTATTGTAAAATATAACAATGATTTTAGGAAAGATGTGTTTAATTCATGGCTATGTTTCATGAAGACGCTCAATAACAATTCATATATGAAAACTAAGTATCTAAATTTACCTGTCTGGTACAATCCCAATATAAAAATGGGAAACAAAATAATTTTTGTAAAGACCTGGTATAAATAATGGTGTTAAAAGTGTTTGTAATTTCTTAAACGATGAAGGAATTTTTTTTTAACTCTCATTGACTTTGAAAATAGATTTCATTTGTTTAATGTTTGCATTATGCAATACAACAGTATTATCTGTGCTTTATCCAGGTATTTAAAAACAATATCTATATAGATAAATCATCTGTTAAAAGGGAATGTACCCCTTTTATTCCTTTTTATTTTGAAAATATTATTGTATATGAAAAGTGCACTAAAATACATGTAATTCACGGATATTGGAATAGTAACCATGTCACTCCTACGAAAATATAGATGGAACCAGGAGCTATCAGTGATTTTAGAATCAGATATTTGTGTTCAAGATGTTTTAAGGTTTGTTGTAGAACAACTATGGATACTTCTGTTCAAAGGTTAAAGTATAGAATCCTTCCAGTGAAATATTATTTGAAGAAAATAAATATTTTATCTGATGACCACTGTACTTCTTGTAAACAGGAGATAGAAACAATACAACATATATTTTTGAATTGCACAAAAATCTCTTCATTGTGGAGTAATCTTAGCATGCACATTTTTACAAAAACTTCGAAAAGAGTTGGGTTTAACACATGTAATATTATGTTTGGTGAAACTCCATTATCTTATCATCATAGAGTGATAAATTTCATTATTCTATGTACAAAGCAAGATATCTTTTCCTATTTGAAACAGAACAAAATGTATACCTATATGATTACTGGGCTGCTACATCATTTCACTCTTATGTACAAAGTAGAAAAATGCATACCAATTCAAAAATTTGCAATGAACAATTTTGAAAACTTATGTTCACTATGGATTAATATTTTTGAGTCATAAACAATCATTAAAACACCAACAATAATTATTTTTCAAATGGAATAGTATATCTTATTGATAAACTTTTTATTTAATATTTCATTCTTGTTTAAAATTAGCTAGGGGAAGTGTGAATATGTGAGGGAATGTGAGTAAAAATTTCATTATGTAACTTGATATGTCACTCTTTGAAAAAAAAATTAATTAAAAAAGCTCGAATGGAGCAGCAATCAAAATACTCGGCGCCTGAATATTTATAAAGTAGAATTTTCAATGTGTTTAGTTATTGTAAAGTACGTAACCTTTTCCAACCTAAAATGACATACCCCCCCCCCCAAACACACACGGATCTTACGACCACCCTACCCTTTTCTGTATTAGCACTTCCCTACATTTCTTTAGGAATTTTTTTTCAAAGTATGGTTACGCATGTCTGAAGACAAATCTAATATTAACAATGAAACACATACTAGCTTTTACACTAGGCCACACCTGAATCCGGCTTAACCTGTTGATAAACAAATCCATATTTGGAAATAAAATATCCATAATCATCCTCGTTCGGTTTCTACTGTACGTATATAATTATGCATGACGTCTACCTGTAGTTAAACTCGGTCACCTTCAACTTTATCTTGTAAGTAAGTTTTTCACCCTAAAAAGCAATGACTTTATAACTTATTGTCATGTTTACTTATTTTGTATAAATGTCTAAACATGTATTTATTATTTAACATTAATGTACTAGCGACAGTTTGTTTCCGGGGTGATTTTTAAGGTCACCAGTTAGTACCATAACTGTGCGCTGTAAGTATGGTACACTGATTTCACAACAACCATTTAATCGTCAGCAATGGAATTGTAATCAAGGTTAAAGTTAGCTTTCTGTACAAAGACATGGCAACCGTTCAACATATATTTAAGGTAAATAGGACCACATTATATTCAGAATGTAACATAAGTACTATTAAATATATGTTGTTTTTTTTTTTTCTAAAAGGCTTAAAGTCCAAATAGTTCTTTTTTCTGTTATTGTTCATTGAATTGAACAAAACGATTAGAATGTATAGCAAATATATAGCAAACTAAAGATTAATGTATAATAATTTAAAAATAAAAATATAACAAACATATTAGAAGTTTTAGCACATATGTATTGTTTTCCTTGCCTGTTTTGAATATGTAAGAAAAATGCACTTTTGATTAATGATTTAAATTTGTCTCCTTCATCTTAAAGTTTCGATGAAGACAATGAATTCAATTCATCATAATAAAAGTTAATCTTATACATGTATCTCCTCTGGTTCAGTAGTTATAATGGCAGCTGAGGCTAAAGAAACAAAAGGGAATACTATTTTAATATTTCTCTAAGAGGCACGTTTCCATTTTTCGCTTGTAAATAAGGAAGATGCATTTCATTAACTCCATCCAATAAATTCAAAATTTACATGGTATTTCCATCATTGTTTTTGAAATAAACCTACCAAACCTGTTTTGCGAATGCATGAAAACCTTCAGATTACTCATTGTCAAAGCCTTTATGTTTATTTTATTTTATTGTGCCCATACACTTGCAAATATGAGGAACATTATGAAAGAGGTTCTGGACTTGTCTGAAAGGCCAGAGAAGATATGTTGGTGCTAGAGGTTGAACAATAAACTATAGATAGTAACTGCGTTTAATTTTCTATTCTGGATAAACTTGAACGCTCATATTGTGTTATTTTTAATCGGCAAAAAAAAAAAAAAAAAAAAAAAAAAAAAACAACTATACATAGGCTTTCTCGTACTTAATTTGAAGAACAAAGATATGCGTCATGAGTGATGATGATGATGATTGGTCGAGTGCGGTTGTTATTGACAACGGATCCGGATCTTGTCAGGCGGGCTTTGCTGGAGACGATGCTCCTCGGTCCTTTTTTAAATCAGTTGTAGGAAGACCCAGATTCCAGGTAATTAGATTAATTATTGTAAACACAATGCTTAAAAATCTCAACTTGCTTGCAAATTGTCTATAATTTTAGGTGTTGTTATGATGAAGATATTTTTTATCCAGAGACGATTACATGGTATCCCGTACTCGGACCGTTATGTGGGAGATAAGGCTATGTACTTAAGGGGAGTTCTGTCCCTTCGCTACCCCATTGAAAGAGGTGTAGTTAAAAACTGGGATGACATGGAGCTGATATGGCAGCACGTCTTTCACGATGAACTAAGAACAAAATCTGAAGAAACAAATGTGCTCATGTCGGACGCAATTTTGAATCCGATAGGAAATCGCGAGAAAATGACGCAGGTTAGCATTAAAAAATCGATTTCACGAAGTTGATCAAGAATTGGTTATTTCTAAGACAATGCTTTTAGTTTTCTCCTACATATATAATTTATTTTTCAGATAATGATGGAAAAATTTAATGTTCCTGGTTTCTTTGTAATAAATCAAGGTATACCCACATTGTATGCGTCAGGAAGAGCCTGTGGTACCGTTGTAAACATAGGAGAGGGTGTTGCTCAAGTATATCCTATACACGAAGGCATGGAAGCAACTTCTTCAGATAGTTCTAACCACAGAAATGAATACGTCATTCGTTATTCGCCCTTTTCTTGATTCTAGGTATGATTTATGTGTTTATATCTTTTTTTAGGGTACACGGTTCTTCCAGCTATGAGAAGGCTAAACCTGGCCGGGAAAGATTTGACCTGTTATTTACAAAGACTTCTTCAACAGAAAGGACACTCATTCACTACATCTGGTATGTATTGGTATTTAGGGTCATAATATGGGGTCAAATTTTTTCATAGGAATGTAGAGGGAAACAATACTAGTATTTTTTATAAAAAAAAAAAAAAAACAAACCCTTCTGAAGGACAGCATGGTTACTCAGATGAGTGTTGTGGTCCTTGGGCTTCTTTAAAAGACACGTAAACTTTCAAAAGTTTCTAATAAAAGACATACACAATTTTCCTCGAATCCAATCTTTAAATTTTCAATTGCAGATGCCTCTGATGATTTAAATTTCAAATGAGGCAATGATATCCTATATCCCCCCCCCAAAAAAAAAAGTTGGATTGCGTTCAAATGTAGGCCTATACATATAGGTTCGCTCTGTCAGATACTTTATCCTTAATATACTTAAGAAAAATAGAAAAATTGTTGAGTATTAATAAAAAATAATAAAACTATAATCCAGAAAATTCAGAGTAGAAATGTGAGAAAGCAAAACCAACTCACCAGTATTGTCAGTCCGTGCTCAGTGATGTGAGCAGAGTAAACAAATTGAACACGCCCTGTAAAATGTAAACATTAACAAATAACAGAGCTCGGGTCCTGTTTATAAACGCAGATCTTTGACTTGATGTAAAGAAGAAGGTCGTTATCACTGAATTCTAAGAATATTCATATTAGTTCAATTCATTAAACTGAGTTTATTTTTTTTAATAAACATAGAAATTTAAAATGTAAACAATGCAACTGTGTCCAGGCCCCTTTAACCAAAAATGACACTGCACTACATGGCGATTCTGAATAGTGAATATCAATATGACTAACATGGCCTTGCTGTTATGGAAGGAAAGGAGTTCTAAAAACAATTTTTTTTCTATATGCGTAAAATATGCAAAATTTGAACCCCGGTTTTAGCCTCACCTTAGCCCAGGTGTCCATGATTTGAAGAAATTTGAATTCACACAATGTGGATATATTTGCATATCAAAATGATTTAGCATCGCCATCCTACTAGAATTTTTTTTCGGTTGAATTCCCTAAATATTCCGTTGTAAAATTTTTGAATACTTATAAATAAATATTTAGCTCCACCTTAATCCAGGGAGACATGATTTGAACAAATATTAATTTGCATTGATATGATTATTTTTTAATTGCTTTGAGAAGAGGAACTGTAAAGTGTTTTTCTTCTCTTATAAGCATGCATTCCTTGTGAAAATTTGATCCCTTATTGTAGTCCCACATAAACTCTTGGACCATAGTTTTAATAAATTTGAATTTGTATTGTCTTGGGATTATTTCATGATAATATGATTCATAGTATAGCCCTGCTTTTCTTAAAAAGATTTTTTAAAAAAAGATTCATGAAATTCCTTCCCATGTGAAACCTTAATCCCCGGCAAATGTAGATCAGAAAAGCTCACTTGGGCTCAGGTATGCTAAAAACTTGATTCAGTATGAAAAAAGTCCATTTTTCTTAAGCTCATAATAATTATGTTTTTTTAGAGGATTGCCCTCGAGAAGTATGGTTATTTTGTTTGATTGCATACATTTTCAGACTAGTACTTCTCCATGCCAGTACTAGTATGTAGAATTTATATAGAGAAATATAAGGTGTTAGTAGGCCCAATTGGTGCTTTTTTTGGTTTTCCTATTCAGGTTTTTTGTTTATTCTTTTAAATGGATTTCATTAAAGTTATCTTTGATTTGGATGGAATTAAGATCTTGTATAATTACTAATTAGCAGATGATTGTGTTGTTTTTTTTTCCTCATCCGAAGTTGAAAATGATCTATGACAATTATCTTTTATTCAGATCGAAAAGTAATGAACACGGAATGATTTTATGGTATGCCCTACTTAAGGCTTTCTCTTTTTAGCGGAGATGGAGATCGTTAGAAAAATGAAGGAGGACCTATGTTTTGTGAGCCAGGATTATCAGAGTGATCTTGTCAAGGCATCGTCTTCCGGTGATATAGAGGCGTCGTACACACTGCCTGATGGGAACAAAATCACTCTAGGGAACGAACGATTCCGTTGTGCTGAAATCCTTTTTCAGCCGTCAATGTTAGGTAAATTACATTTTTTTCAAATTGAATCAATCGGTCTTTTTACTCCTTTTTGACTGCATGAGTACTATTACATTGTCATAACATAAAATTAATTTGTCCTAAATTGAAAGATAATCTATCACAGTTCAAGCTGAAACTTGTACTGTTCTAGTATACTATTAGTATATATACAAATGTAGGTCTATGGTTCAAGTCAGTCATACAAATTGCCAGCTCTTCATATTACTTAAATAATTTTGCTTGTGAACAGAGAAGCATTGACCAGTTGAACATTTTGTTATTTTATGAGATGTAAGCTTAGTACACCTCCAATTATGATTAGAATTCCTCCCTCAGGTTTGGAATCCGGGGGAATCCACGAACTTATTAACAGCTGTATAATGGCATGTGACGTAGATTTGAGGAGTTTACTACACACCAACATCATTTTAGCCGGAGGAACCACCATGTGTCCAGGTATATAAATTTTACAAAGTGAAAATATCCGAATCTGCGGGGTTGGATTGAAAACGTTTGGTACAATGTACAGCTGCCTGTTAATTTGTTGATTTTAACAGGTATTATTGAAAGAATGAGCTCCGAATTAAAAGAATTGGCTCCATCTTTGGTGAAGGTAGTAGCACCCCCTGAAAGACGTTCTTCGACTTGGATTGGAGGATCGATTCTAGCGTCTTTATCCACTTTCCAAAAGTGTTGGATTACCACATTAGAATATCAGGAATATGGCCCAAACATAGTTCATCGCAAATGCAAGTTCTGATGTGGAATGAAACTAAAGAACTTTTAATATAATTATTTTTTTAATTTTAACTTTGATATAAACAAAAGCGTGCGCATTTTACATTTATTTATAAATAAATATTGCCATATATACAGTAAACATTTTCAATATTACTTCCCTTATCAGAAATCCTCTGAAAGAATATATCAGGAAAAAAAGGAATAGTGACAGTCTGAACTTGTTTACCTCCAAATTTAAAGGGGCATGCATATGGACACATGAAGTTTATAATCTTCAAAAATTCTGGTAGAATTTCATGACTAACGTATTGCAAGAGCGTTTCAGACCAATATATTTATGAAAACCTATATAGAAACTTTTATCTGAAAATTATCAAAACTACGAACTTCTGGTTTGTTTGATTGTCATACATCCCTGCACTTTCATGAGCTAAATTTTTTCCTTAATATTCAAGGAAAGTGGAAAATCTGATGTGTATTAATAAAAGATATTTAAAACTACAATCAAGAAAAGTCAAAAAAGAAATGTAATAAAGCAGAACCAACACAACGGTGTTGTCACTTTGTGGTCAGTGATGTGAGAAATGTCAGCAGATCGAACACCAGTAAAATACGGAATCATTAGCACTAACAGAGCAGAAAGAACCAACTCTCTCTCTCTCTCTCTCTTAAAAATCAGTTTGTAAAAATGTCAAATTTTGTATTATGATATATCATATTGTGTATGAAATAAAGAATTAAAAAAAAAAACTAAGAGAGCACGTACCAACGTTTACAAATACAAGTGTTTGGTGTAAGGTTATGAAGACTGCCATTAAGTATGAAGAATTTCCATGTTTGTTCAAATCATTATAATACTAAAGCTTTTTTTTTCAAATAAAAAATAGAAATTCAAAATTGTAAACAAAACAACAATGCAAGTGTGTCTATGCCCCTTTAAATACAAAACATGGAATGATATTTATATTCAATAGAGTGTAAAGGAAATAGTTTATAAAGAATTGCTGTGCCTAGTAGGGATACTAATAACACTGTGTTCATTTGATTAAACGAATTTTTATAGCTAAACTTGTATGTGATTCTGCATAGTCTTGCAATTTTTGTTTGATGAACATTTTAATTTGATTGTTAATATTTTTCGGACTATTAAATGTTGTCTGCTATTGGCTGCACATATATTTGTTGCTTTACTTTTCTCTGTAGCAATAAAGTTATTTAATGCAATTATTTTATTAGTTCTGATTGATTTGTTTTTATTCGCATTAATACCAATCTAACTTGTCGGTGTGTGTGTGTGTGTGGGGGGGGGGGGGGGAATGGATACCCGATGGGAGACGACTTTGTATGAATTCCTTTATAGATATAATTATATTATTTCTCTTCTCCGTAAAATTGAAAACAAGTCCAAACAATAAATATATATCAACTTTCATGAAATCAAAATAATTTTGAAATTTTAAAATATCAGGGCTCATGAACAAACGTAACGACCAATTGGGAACAAATTTTATTATTTCTAGCTAGTTCATTATCTGATGAGCAAATGTCACTTGAATATATAGATCCCGATTCTTGGTACTGGAAAATGATCAAGCGCTAGTATCGTACGCGACGTCCATGTCATTCGTACACGCACCAGGATGAGGTTGGTCCATTGTATTATACATAAGTTTAATTTTGAAAAAAGTGTTTAAATATAAATTCTGGTTTTTCCGAATCATGGATTATGGCAGTTTTATATTGGAAGAATTTTTAAATCTTTTTTTTAAAAAAAAAGCATGCACCAAGTTTTGCTCTAACTAGACCAAATGTTTAGGAAGATTAATGTTGTGAAAGAAAATAGCAGGTTAATTTAGTACCATGACGAAACGATCAAATTAATAAAAAAAGAGAAGATATGTACAGAATTATATATCTTGATGGGACTTTCTAATAAAATCAAATTTCCATCTTAGTGATAAATTAAAGAAATGAAATAATGAGAATACATACTTAAATACTTTATTTATCACTTTATATTTTAACTTACTATGCAGTATATTTGTAATATACTTTTCAATGATTTTGTGTTCTTATCGTCATCTTTTCACTTTACAACCTCATATAATCCAATTATTTAAGATTTAAAGAGAAAATAGTTTTGGAATATATAAATACATAATTCCAAAAATCCTAATGTTATTCTTACAATTTATTTAAAATATACATAAACATGCACTTAAAATATGTCTTCACAACAAGGGTAAGTTAAACAAAGGAATGGAAGAGTTAAATTGTTTATTTTAAAATAAATAATAATGAATATATGGACTACAGTTTCTTAAATATTTTGAAAATCTTATGTGTTTTCATTCATGGTGTACTGAGTAATCTAAACTACCAGATCCTGCATTTGTGTGAAGGATTCATATAGCTGCCTTTGGGACAGTGGAATGCTGCTGAAAATTCAGGAAGATTCTGAAGCGTACCCGTCACTCTACAGAAAAAAAATTTATTTACTGTCCAGTTCATCAGTTTGTAAAAAAAAAAATGATGTAAGTTCTTGAAACCAAACAAAAAAGTATTTGAAAAAAAATTTGAATTACATAATTCTTTAGACATTCAAGTTAATATTAAGAATCTTTATGATTTTAATTGTAAAAGAGATTCAACAGTCAATATTATTTTCAAAACATTGCTTGCTGCAGTTTGATGTTCTTGAGGAAAAAGTAAATGGCTAAGAACAACCTGAATCGGGACGGACTGTGTGGCCCTGTCATCAGATGGTTTATGGAATTCTCTTTCGTTGCAAGGGTACACCTAATCTATAATTAAGAATAGAATTTTTTCTTTACCATAAACCAATTTTCAGGGTAAAATATTATATATTAAAAAAAATTACATTAAAAAAAAAGGAAAAAAAAAACAAGGATTGCATAACCTGTGCAAAATTTATGAAAAATAGTTGGTCATGCGTCATGTTCAGTCCCGGAAGTGGATCTTCTTCACTTCCTCTGTTTGATATGAAATTTCTGTAGCCCTGTCAAGTGTAAACAGAAAAACTAACACTCTATACAATGAATGTAAGAAAAACAACCATAAAAGAGATTTTTTTAAAAGATTTTTAAAAAAAAGGTTATGACAGCTTTCCTAGGCTAAAAATTATTGTCGTTGTAGAAACGCCCATATATCTAAAGGTGTCAACAATTTTTTCTAGGTTTTTAGGAATTATTTCTACTAGTAATTGACTTACTCTGTAACTTTGTAAAACCCCGCCGTTATCAGCAATGTTTTCACCCAGTGTAATTATTCCATTAACCTTTAAATACAAAATAATCATAAAATTATTAAAAGTCATTAAAGGAGGTGGGCGAACAAGCCGAGAAAAATGCCTATGGTTCGACAAAACAAATAAGAAAGTGCAAAATTTAATTCTCAATTAAAACACAACCTTCTTTCATATTTCAGTTAAAATTAATGTATATTTTTATGTAAAGTCTTCAAACTGAAACAATCACAAGTATTAAAATGATTCATTCATCTATGAAATAGCATACACACACAAAAGAAGGCAAAAATTATCATTTCTTCATACTATAACACAATTTTTCTATATAAGCGGGTCTCCGCTCTATTTTTTTTTTTTTTTTTGTTTTGTTTTGTTTTGTTTTGTTTTTTGTTTTGTTTTTGTTTGTTTGTTGAAAGTTTAAAATATGTCTAAAAATAAACATTTTGCTTCACAAAACATGAAACAAAACCCACTCTACCTAAACAAAATACACTTTTATGACATAAAATTCGTATCTTTCTGAGAAATATTTGAAATCCAGTTATTCAAGGGTCGTATCACAGATGTTATGAGTGTTTGGTGTAGTGGTTAGTTTGTTTTCTCTAAGAGAAAACTGATACTCAGGATTTTTGGTTTCAATTCCAAAGAAATCCTTATTTTTTATCCATAGAATAATTTTTGCCAAGAGCATTTTTTTCAGCAGAAATGTTTTTTTTTTTTTTGGTCACAATTTCATTTCTTTCAATACTTAGAAATTTGCTTTAAAGACTTATTTTATAAATTGAATTCAATTTTTACACATACGAAACTATGGGCATTTTGCATGCCGTTATCGCCCATCTTCTTTGAAATATTTTTATCACATGTATTTCAGTTTTGAAAGTTCATTAATTTGTATTTTACAAGTAATAGCAAATGATAGTGTAAATCTGTGCTTTAAGTGCAACAATATGGTTAAAAAAGTAAAGTTCACTATAGAAATGTTATGAAAGCTGAAATATTTCTAAAGTTGTTCACCAAAGCGACTTTTTCACAAACTTCTTACAGTTATATATACGCATGTAAGGTGCAAAACCTTGACATTCTACAGTGAGAAAAAGAATGATATTATTATACTTCAAACATTTCTTTGCTTTGTATGATCTCCTATGCGCTGAAAATGAACCACAGAAAAGAAACACAAAAATATCTCTACGATATCAAATAGGTCACACGTACGTTCATTCCGCCAGCTTCCGGGTAAGAGAAGTTCCCATATTGATCAATGAAGCATGTTGTGAGATCTTTGAATTTATCCACTGACTTCTGACTCCACCATTCATGTAGTTCTCCATCCTTATTGAATTGTCTCCCTTAGCAGAGAAAGAATCATTTCTTAGTATGCAATCTTTTACCATTAAAATGTAATCTTGTTGTTTGTTGTTGTTTTTTTTTTTACATCCATTATTACATTCCCACTTCCTCTACAGAAAATTATTGAAAAGAGAATGGATTTCTAGTGGATGGTCAATTTGATCATTGATACATTCAATGAGTGTTTGATACATTCAATGAGCGTGATGTTTTCAGGCCTAAAGATTCCTTTTCGAGAAAGAGGTTTATGCAAATCTCAAAAAAAAAAAAAAAAAAAAACCGTTTCATCCCTTAAAGCACAGTTCATGGTACCTCTGTCGTCGAAGCCATGAGTGATCTCGTGTCCTATTAAGGTTCCAATACCACCGTAATTCAGAGATCTGAAGACAAAATCATAAAAAAAATTCTATTAAAAAGCAAAGTACAGGGACATAAAAGAACCAAAATTGAACCGAACCGAATTTGAACCAGGTACGTTCTATATCACACCGAATTCATCAGCTATGGCGTAGGGAAAACAATGCTCACCTGGGGTAATCTTTGTGGTAGTAAGGGGGCTGTAGTATACCAGCGGGAAACACTAAAAAAGCATCAGCATCAGTCATAAAATATAACTGAAAACAGTGCACAACCTATGTTTGAAAAGATGTTCTAGAATTGAGAAGACTAATGACTCAATAGTCCTTACTTATCCTGTTCTTTTCAGCACTGTAGAATGCATTCACTGTAGATGGAGCTGTTTCCCACCTGAAATATAGAGCTATGATTACTTGTAATTTAAGAAAAAAAATATTGGTTACCCTTCTAAGAATTGTCTCTATATATATACTAAAAGGAATTTCGTTTTCATTATTTTAGAGACACTTACTTCATTCTGTAAAGTTTATAGCGGAGTTCTAAAAGATCATCAATAACGGTCCTCTTCAAGAGCGAGAGCATATTTTGAAAGTAGTTGTATGGTTGTATTGTTACCTGAAACATTTGGTGCACAGCGAGTTGAATAAAACTTTCACAATAGTCAAAGTAAGATGAAAGAATACTTCAGAGATCAATATATCTATGATTTCATGTCAGTTAGTTTTCATATTTGATAATTGTACATGATTTGATTGTTGATACATACCTTAATGCAACCCCCCCCCCCCTTTTAGATTTTTATTTTTAAGGATGTATTCTGCTGATTATGCTGAGGTGTCAGTCATTTTTACTGAACTGGTTTTATCCATCAAAATATGCATATATTTTTTGCCCACTACCCCCCTATTATCTATTCACATTTGATTCTTTGTAGTCCTGATACTCCAGTAGTCTGTTCAAAAATATTAAGAAAGGTTTAATTTCAGATTAAAAGTTCTATGGGAAAGAAATTTTCCATTCATTGTCTTTGAAAAATCCCGAGAAATCTGGTTTCCCGCCATATGCACAATGCCTTATATCTCAAAAATATACTAATTTACTCATATATTTTTTTTCTTTTTATAATGAATACATCAAATTAAAGTGTCAAAATTGAAAAGTTAAATGCAAGTATCTCAGCAGAACACATCGTTAATATTATTAGAAAGTTAAATCATGGACTTCATTTTCAACCAAAACTCCCTATAACATCAATTGACTACCTTTAACTTACATTTTCATATCTTTTGTTAAGGAGTTTGTCATCCAAGATGCTGTCGTCATAACCAATTTTTCTTTTCATGGCATTAGCCTATTCAAATATTGATATTCAATAATGTATGAACGCCCTGACATATGATATATAACCCTTTTGTTGTGATATTTTATTAAGATTTTTTTTTTTTTACATATTTCGTATGAAACATTTCCGTTGCGATGATTCAATTGTTTTTTGAAACAATGTTTAAATTTCAACCTTTGCTTCCGCCACATCAATCGTCTCTTCATCCATCCAGTCCAGCTCCGACAGAATGGTCCCGAATGCCGTCAGTATATAGTCTGTCATATCGCTTATCTATAAGATGAAACATGCAAGACTGCCATCGAAAGACAAGTCGACAACAGATCTTTTACAAACACACACACACACACACACACACGCACACACACACAGAAGGACTTCCTATTATGAGTTAATACTGACACTGGTCCCCGCAATATATCATATTTATTTTGGTAGAGAAAAGTTGGCACGGGAGGGAGTAAACCAGTATAATGTCAGTTAATATTTTGAGTAGAAACTTTAGAAAGCACAATATATATTGAAGCTTACTCCGGATTTTGCTTCTTCGTCGAAGTGTCGCTCTACAAACTGTCGTCCGAGAGGTAACCCCATGTAATTCACGATCAGTCCGACACACTTACGCCAGCGGGAGCGGATGTGAGTGGATCCATATAGAACCTATGAAAATACCAACGATTTAAGGTCCATTGATACCCTGATAAGAGAGATAACTCTTAATGACATAAATGTCTATTATTCCTAAATAGTTCTGTCAACTTGAAATGTCTTTTTTGTTTAATTAGGCACCGCAAGCTATTATATAATTGTATTTCACTTAGTGTCTTCACAAAAGTATGGCATAGTTGGTAATATTTGACCTTCTATTAACCTTCTACCTATTTGACTTCTACAAACGACATTCGAAAAGAGACATCAAGCATCTTTAAAACATTACTTTCCCCTAATTGTTAAGTATGTATTTTGTATTATTTTTTCATCAGAAAAGTACTGAACAGATCAATTTTTTTTTACCGAATTTCTATGACCTTGACCTTTTTAAAAATGATTCTTAGTCCCGGTCAGGACACACCTTTCGATCATTCGTGCCAAGAAATATTTATATTCTCCATTACAGAGATATGAACCAGAGAAGAACCTCACATTTTCGATCCCTATGATCTTGTCAAAATGACCTTGAGCTGAGTCCAGTCCATGACACTCTCTCTGGTCATTGCCACTTTGAAATTGATAAGATTTTACTCAAAGTTTTTAGCAAAGTTAAATTTTCAGACAAACCAAAAGATTTCCATGTGTTACCTGTTTATCATGATAGAGTTATAACATTACCTTGTAGAATTCCCCCAGATACTGCCTGAACCTATCTGGGAGATCCTTAATTCGGTTCACCATCAGTCTCCAAACAGCGTAATTTGCTATTGTCCTTAAGTTGGAAAAGATGTTCTGTTAGAAATGGCGAAGCTTTTGTACTTTTGAAGACAATGCAGATTTAAAAATCAAGAGGCCCAAGGGCCTTAACGGTCACCTGAGTATAATACAACAATTTAGAGGATCCATAGAGTGTAAAATGAACTGAAAGGTGAAGCTTTGTTGCCCAAAAGCAAGAAAAATAGGATGATCAGGATTAACAAAATAATTAGTTTAGTATTCATTAACAGTTCATAAATTAGGTTCTAATCTGTTCTCCATTTATCACTATCACCATACACTATATTAACTATCAGTGCTTCTGTTCTACTATTTTAATTCCTTGTTCAAATCTCTTACATTGGCCTCTCTTGGTCTTTGATGAACATTTAATAAGACAAGTTATTTTTGTCTCATTTTTATTTTTCTATTACTTACAAGTCTACCTGATCATTAAAACTATGAAAGTACTTTTTGTATTATATAATAAAAATTCTTGCATAATTTTCTTATTCTATTAACCTTTCAAGTACATTATTTACAGTGATTAACTATCAAAAGCATATAGCAAAGGGGAATAACTCCTCTCAGTAGAATACAAATTAATAGAGCCCTGGCCAGGACAGAACACTTGACCAAATGGTCCAGATGTTCAAAATTCTGGTAAAAATACCCTTCCTTATGAAAACTTTTACTCTTTTTGCCTCTGATATGCCCTAACACCAGAACCCCTGATCCAGGAGCCATGAAATTCACAATTTTGGAAGAGGCATCCTTGCTTATTATAACTATGTATTTAATTTATTTAAATAATAACCAGGAGTAGAGAAGAAGATTTTCAAAGAAATAATGCACTTTCACTATATGATCTATATAGCCCCGCCCTAGCACCAGAACCCCTGATCCTAGGGCCATGAATTTCACAATTTTGGTAGAGGGCTCAATGCTTATTACAATCATGCCAACAGTTTGACTGCTTGATGTCCAGGAGTAAAGAAGAAGATTGCATTAATTTTGGTAATTTTAGTCCCACCCCTCAGGCCCCAGGGGGGCAGGGACCATGAAATTCAAAAATTTTGTTCCCCTTTACGCATAGATGCCATATGCTAAAATTGGCTGAAATTGGGTCAGCAGTTTCAGAGAAGAAGCTGAAAATGTTCAAATGTTAACACACGACGGACGACGGCGGACGAAAACAGATAGCAATAGGTCACCAGAGTGACTCAGGTGACCTAAACATGATATTTGAACTATGGTATGGTTAGAATCTAGGTCAAAGGAATTTTTGAAACAGTACTATTGTACAGAGGAGAAACTCGAGGCACCTAGACAATGAAAATGCCAGCATTTTCGGATTCTGATGTTCTGAGCACGTTTGACAATGGGGATGTTGACGTAAGATATACCATCAAAGACAACGCCAATATGACTGTGACTTACTTTCTGATAGAAGAATCGCAGTTATGACATATGTGCCACATACAAATCAGGTCCAACTACATTATTAGATGTGTTCATTGAGAAAAACAAACTTGTATACGATATAGTAGCACATTTTTCCCAATTTCTCGTCGAATAAGACACGCAACTCTCTAGCCAGATATTATGCTCATAGAAACGGATAGTACACCCTACTCACGCATAAAACTACATGTAAATAGCAAATTACTACTGTACTTTCACCTCAGTATTCTATATGTTCTCAATCGAAAAAAAAGTCGAGAGTATTAAAATAATCACACACCTCTTTGGGAATTTTTCTAAGGTATGCATTAAATTTCTCATATATTCCACGTCCTTCACAATCACTGTTTCGTTTTCTTGGACTTTAAAATTCACTAACTGAAACAAACGGTGGACGTAATCAAACCATGTAAAGCCCAACTGCAAAAGAAAAATATAAATCAACATCATTACCATTAAGTACTGTTTTCCTGATAATTCTAATTAATAGAAATTCAATGAGTACGCTAGGACAGGAATGTAAACTATTTTTGTTTGGAAAATTATATTTTTTTCTCACCTCATCTGACTCTGTCAAATTGTTCTTCATTTCTCCCACAGTAAATTTATTGTAGAGCTTTTCGTTGTCTCTCCTTCCCTCCAAAGGGGTGGATATCTAAACCAACACATATCTTACGCATTACTAGTCATTTCTTAACATACATACATGTATATATACTAAGATGGGGGAAAATTTTAACATGTATGTGCAAGTGAGAATTCAAATCCAGGAGCCAATGAAAACATTGTTTTGTGCATAATAAGGAATTCGTCTCTGTATTGCGAATGTTTCTCCATACTGTATTTGTTCTTATTTTAACTATATTAGAATTTAGCATAAACTATTGGGATGTAATGTAAAAACTGAAAATGTAACTTAATTCATAAACTCGAAAGATTGATTAAGAATTCTTAATACAATGTAATTTGATAAAATCAATGAAATTTGAAAAAGAAAACTTCTTGTCTTTCGTTTATTACGCTCCTATTTTAACGGTGCAGTTTTGTTGGACGGGAAAAGAGATAATGAAACTATTAAAAGTAGGTTAAAACGAGAAAAGAACGAGATAAACAATAAAGAATATCATGTTTTATGAATGGATATAATTTTTTATCCAGTTCGACATGTGTTTCCTATTGCTTTGCCTGGGGCTCGGGGATAGAAACACGTTACCTTGGATAACAAGAGGCCCATGGGCCTTAACGGTCACCTGTGTCTAATATACCCCTGTAAAGGATCCAGAAAATGACAATTTGTTAATTTTAATAAAACAAAATAAACTGAAAGATGAAGTGACTCCGGTGATCTAAAAACCATATCCAGTCAAAAAGCATAGGAGATTATTCATGTTCATTTGCACACTGACAACTTTTTCATGCTAAGACGGCAAAACATATTTTCTTGCTAAGATACACGGATACTATTCAATCTTTGGTAATTAATGCATCTTACAAACACAAGCAATGAAAAAAAAAATAATCTTAGCGATTTCTTTTTGATCCCGAGCATATAAACCAATATCGAAGAACAAGACATTAATTATATATTGCAAAACTCCAAATTAAAAAAAAAACAAAACGAGATGTGTTTGTGAAACACTGATGCCCCCGTATGGCAACTTCTAGCAAAGGTTAAACTTTCTCAAATGCAAATCAAGTATGTTGGTACCCAAAGTAAGGTCTTGTCTCAAGGAATATACCTGTGAAATATGAAAGCCCTAGCAGCAACCATTGAATAGATATAGAAAAGGTTAAAGTTTTTCAAAAGTGAGTCAAACATCAAGGTCAAGATCAAATGGTCAAAATTAATGGTGCCTTGGGAAAGGCCTTCTCTCAAAAAATATACAGGTGAAATATGAAAACTGAAGCACCAATCGTTCAAAACCTATGACCAAGGTTGAAGTTTTTCAAAAGTAGGTCAAACTCCAAGGTCAAGGTCAATAGATTACAATTGTTGGTATCCAAAGAAAGGTCTTGTCACAAGGATTACATATATGAAGTATGAAAGCCCTAGCACCGACGGTTCAAAAGTTATGGCCAAGGTTAATTTTTTTCTAAAGTAGGCCAAACTCCAAGGTCAAGGTCAAAGTGTCAAAGTTATTGGTATCCAAAGGAAGGTCTTGTCACAAGGATTACATATGTGAAGTATGAAAGGCCTCGCACCAACGGTTCAAAAGTTATGGCCAAGGTTAAAGTTTTTTCAAAAGCAGGACAAACTCCAAGGTCAAGGTTAAAGGGTCAAAGTTGTTGGTATTCAAAGGAAGGTCTTATCACAAGGATTACATATGTGACGTATGAAAGCTGAAGTACCAATCGTTCAAAAGTTATGGCCTATGTTTAAGTTTTTCAAAAGAAGGTCAAACTCCAAGGTCAAGGTTAAAGGGTCAAAATTGTTGATATCCAAAGAAAGGACTTGTCACAAGGATTACACATGTTAAGTATGAAAGCCTTAGCACCAATTGTTCAAAAGTTATGGCCAAGGTTAAATTTGGATAAATTTTTGCAAAACTGGGTCAAACTCCAAGGTCAAAAGGTCAAATATGGTAGTACCAAAGAAAGGTCTTATCACAAGGAATACACATGTGAAATATGAAAGCCATAGCTCCAACCAATCAAAAGTTATGGGCAATGTTAAAGTTTTTGCGGACAAACAGACAGACAGACAGACGGATGGACAGGGCAAAAACTATGTACCCCCGAATCTTCGATAAGGGGGCATAAAAAACAAATTTTACGTTATAAAATTTAAAAGTCACAAATACATTTGCCAGGATAATTTCTAGATCTAAGATGTCCTCCATATCCTTCTGCGCCGCTTCTCTTTTGGTTCCGAACTCCACAGCGACCTTGACGCCCAGCTCCACATAGGCTTTCATCAGAGGGTTATCCTTAGGTTTGTTATAGTGGGTCCGATCGGGCATAATGAACCCAGGGTTGTCTAGCTGGACAATACAGAAATATTAATACAAAGTTAATCGTAAACTGAGAGACTTGCTAGTCGAAGAAACAATGAAATAAAATGTGCATTATAAGACACTTCGTAACATAAATAATCTCCTCCATTATTTTTCGATAAACGTGACATCCAAGAATTTGACTACTAGTACCGTCAATTCAAAATGAAAGGTTTTTTATTTGCTTATTTCGCAGAACCAACTTTTTATCGATAATAACATTTGTAACACTAATTGTACTCACATATAAAACACTTTGCTCTTTATTTTTGATATCGGCTAAAACATAGGGGTAAATGTATGGTACGTTGCTGTACTTGTTGATGATGACGATTAGAGAGGCCAGAGAAAAATTATCCTCCTTCCAATTCCCTCCCTCGTTTGTCCCTAATATTGGCCAACCTCCGACTTCTTTTAAAAGTGGTAGAGCAACAGATATGCCCTCGCCTTCTATTTCAGCTTTGAACAAAAATGATTGTGACAAAATGTACATTAACATTTCAAAATTCTACATGATTCATACAAAGGCAAACTTGTACAGCTGAACTGCATGTAGTAAGCGGACTTCAAAAGTATAAAGTACATTCCATTGTTTCGAAACTACTAAATAATTCAAATACATGTAACGACATTGAAGGAATATTTTTAAATTCTTACTTTTTTCTGGCTTTAGGTAAACGTTTCAAATAAAATTCAATAAGGTTTGTTAGTTTTCTGTATGGGTTGAAAAATAACCAGTTCAATCGTCTTACTTGTATTCATGCATGAACCGTATAGATTTTTTGCTTTGACAACAGCGTCCAGGTCAGTGTTGGTAATATCCTCTTCCAAGAGCTCTGAAAACATTTCATTTTAATTCACAGAAAATTATATCACACCATTGCATTCTCTGGTCACAGCTTTTATTTATTCAAACAACGGTTACCCCTGTTCTTGCGTTTGAATCATGAACATATCTTTGACAGAAAAAGATGCCTTCTTAGATTCCAGTCTATTGTATGATTTCTAGTTAAATTCAAAGTTTGTTATACTAAATGGCCAGCGTCCAAAGATTGAGGTGAAACTTTGTCAATTACTAAAGAGGTTTGTGTCCTGTTGTATTTATATGGCGAAAACTGCCAAATTGTCCAATGTCAGGAAATATCATATAAACCTTCACTTACGTTTTAACTTCACTTGTATTGTGTCGCGTAAAACTGTAAAACTAGCCATGTAAGATCTGTCACTCGGTATCACGTGACTCTTCATCCAGCCTCCGCATGCGTACTCATAGAAATTGCCACATGGATTTACAGAAAAGTCAATTCCGTCTGCAACTCTAGCAGCTAAAAAAATATCAGATATGGATGACATTTAAAAAAACATCTATAAATAAGGTATCATTTTCCTGTCTGTGTTGTTTTAAATTACATGGAATTTCTTTCAAATCTTACCTGCTCTTATGCATTCTAAAGTATCACAAACTGAAAAAAAACAAATTTCGTACATTATTTGTGATGTTGTACAAAGTTTTCACAGAATGGATTTCTTTATTAAACAATATCTTTTAATGTGAAAATTACCGTTTTGATTCTCGGCAGGAGTGTTTGTAACTGATAAATAAACGACCACACAGACTAGAATTATACAGAACAGAATTAAAATGGCGGTCAACAAAATGAGTGTCTTCTCAGTCATTGAACGTCTTCTATACCAGAATTCGTTTCCGCTGAAAGTAAAAAAGATATCTTCAATAATAACGTTGTCAATGTGAGGCTTGCACTTATTGGGCATTTCTTGACAAGTACAAGCAATAACGTGTCAGTGGCTGTGCCATTGTAACAGCAAGTGATAGTGTCATTCCCTATATAAACTCACAGCAAACATTCTTACAATGTTAGATTCTTAAAATCTGTTTGAAGGAAGAACAATATATAATATATTACTTTCATGTAAATTAGTTGAATCTGATTCGTCGAGAAACATTTGTTAAATATTACTATTACCCGCTGAATGATGAAGTCACGCCCTCCAGCGTAGCAACAGTCAACATTGATTGACGACGGGTGATATTCCAAAAAATAGTGACTGCGCAGAATTTATGCGCGCAAGGTTCACTGTTATATGTTTTTGTATAAAACATTCAGTATGATATAATAAATCATTGCATGTAGTTGAGTGTAACATTGAAAATTTTCACCCCCAAAAAACCATTGTCAACCTCGGCTGCGCCTCGGTTGAAAATGGTTTTCTAGGGGTGAAAATTTTCAATGTTACACTCAACTACATGCAGTATTTATATAATATAATTGATACATCTATCACTAGAAAGCCTCTTTCAGATATACATGTAGGTATAAGATACGTGTATTTCAAACTGAGGAAAATTGAATAATCTCTAGAGCAAATTATTACGGTTAATCATTGGCTAGAAAAATGATTTTGTTATCCCTTGAATGTAGTACATGTATAATTATTTCCTCTTCCAACGGAAGGAAACATTAAATTAGGAATGGTTATTCGTCTGTCTGTTTGTCGGTCTGTCTGTCATATAACCGTGCAGCGTCGATGCGTCTCAAACTCTCCACTGGCATGGAGTCAACCCTTAGTATACATACATCTGTGTTGTTCTCCATGATGATCGATTTAGAGGCGTGAAAAATGAATTGGTGTCCCATCCATAACTCTTAAACTATTGATTTGGAAGAATTGAAGTTTCAAAACCCTCTCTTCACTTATATGAACATGCGTTTTATCACTAATGATTTTCCAAATGAAATCTAATTAAAAATTTAAAGTTCACATTTTGGCATAACTTACGGTGCAAAATATGACAGAACTAGTCTTTTTAATTGACAGTTTTATGAAGGAATAATAGCAATTTATCCCACTGAGAGTTATCGCTCTTGCTATAGGGGTCATTGAACCTTAAACTTAAGTACTATATATCTTTTCGTTATCGCTGATGACCTTAAGGTTAATGGCACCGGGTTATATTATACTATAAGTATTATTGTTGTTTTTGAGGTCAATACAATGACATAGCCACCTGAGGAGTACAGTATTTACCGAACACGAAGAGTGAGGTGAATATTGTACTTCGAGTACTATTAAATCATCGTATTGACTGAAAAAAAGCAATTGTTTCATTACATGTCAGATACAGTTATTAAATGATACAAATTCGTTTAGAAACATTGCAATCTTTCTTGATTGTTCAAATTTGCTGAAGTCCTAGATGAAGAGAAGCAGAATTAAATAAATATACCCGGTAATCAGTTGCATAAATTATGAAAAAATTTATTTGGTTTGGTGTAGACAAAAATGTAATGTTCCCCTAAAATCGGGTGCGAATGAAATAAATTTTCATAACCAATTGTAAAAATGTTTTAAGTTCTCAATCTATTTTGGTCCAATTTAGAACAAATATAAAATATTATGTTCACTTGGAAGGTCTCGTGCAGGTGAACATAACTGATATGATTTCTACAAAGCTGGGTGTCAGCTAATCAGAGAGCTAGGAATTAATTATCCAATCATATAAAAAAAGATGATATCATATCATAATACAAATCTTGAATCGATGAACTGTCAATTGAAATATATTTAGTCCATTGTGTGTTGTTAACGTTTGCATTAGATTTGCTTTTGTATTTATGTAAGGGCATTTACTCGAGCTCATATAGTGGTGACAAAGGGGTATACATGAGCAAGAGGTAGGCATCCTTTTTTGCCTCAAATAAAGTTTAAAAAACGAACCAAACAAAAAGTCAGCAACAACAAAAAGAAAAGTTTGTTAAGTATCTAGTACAATGTTCGTAATGATCATACATTATACGAAAACAAGAAAGATTTTAAACATGTGAATATGAGCTGTGTCTCCCCTAACAGCAGGAAATGTATTGGTAATGGCATGGTAGTTTGTCTAGCTGTGTGTCTATCTGTCTGTTAAGGTGACTGTCTAGGTGCCTGTCTGTCCGTCATCAAAATTGGGCCGATGGTCCTGGAAAAATTCTTGAAAATTTGACTGAAATTGATTCAAATTTGAGTACGTTTGCTATTGCACATAACTAATAGAGCTGGAATAATCTTGACTCAAGGTTACTGTAAATCTTAAGGTTAAGGTCTCTGGGTAAACCTGACTGGAATAAATTCTAATTTGATTATATTGTTGCTGGTGGAGCAAAGGTGTTTCAAGATCATAAATTCACTGGGTAATGACATATCGAAATGCTGTCCCGTTCATAACTTCGAACCCTTGACTATACAAAATTCAAACTTTGATATCATTAATGATTTGTCGTGTCACTCTTGTTCAAGTATCTTACAAAAGGGTAGGAGGAATTGAAATATTCTTTTTATTATAATCTGCCATTAAGAGAGAGTCATTCATTCAAAGAATTAACTTCCTATAATAACGTTAACCTATTTATACATGTGTGTGGTATTTGTGCGTGTAATAAAATTCTGAAATAATAATAATAAAAAAAAAAACTAATGAAAAATATGTTTTGATATCGATATCATCTACAATTCATTTTTAGAAGTTATCATTGATATATTTTACTGTTCCATTGATATCAAGACTAAAAATGCATTTATATCTTTCAGTCAGTCTAATCATGAGAAAAACCTGTTTTAAGTCATTAAAAACGAAAGAAAAAAATCCGATAATAAACATTATGGATCAAAAAATATATATTTTATTCAATATGATTTAAATCGTTTAAGTCTGCTCATCCTTTGCCTTCTCAACACGAAGGATTCAAAGCGTGATTTAATTCGAAATATTTATAAATAATAATAAAAAAATGTCTAATATATGTATTTACAAACTGCGCTTGTGAGAACTCAGACCGACATTAGATAACACTGTACATAAATACATGTACGTATGCCTCCTACGTTAATCGAATATTTAAACCAGCTGATTGAAAGAAAAAAGTATAATTAAAATATCATAATTTTTATAAAATAATTTTTGATTTATTTATTTATTTATTTTGCTTTAGGTTGTGCAATCCGTAAAAACTCATACCCATTAATGCTGAAAATTCAATAACTTAGAAAAGTTCTGAATTTTTTCATAATCATTCTTGATTGAAACTTTGAATGTCACTTTTAATTATTACAGCGGAATAAAAAATATATATACGCGGTACAGTCTAGCCTCGTTAATCCGAAAACTTGTGAAATGCCCAGATAACTGAAACATACCCTTTGTAATGTTAATGCTAAATGACTGACCTTCATAACACACAATCATACATCGACTTGAAACACTGACGATATATACTTTTCCTTTTTTGTCCTTTTGTCGATTCGTACTTAAGTTTGCCTGCTTATTTATACCCTCTCCTTGACCATCATACTTGCATTATTAGTTCTCTTTGCTTAGTTGTCCTATAACCAAGATTTAAGGTCATATCTCCAAGGTTACTACCTTATCCACATCTTTGGCATAACAAAAGGTATGCCTCAATGATACACGGTGAACTTCAGTGTCTTATAGCCTCTCTTAAAGGTCAAGGCTTTTAAGGTCATTAACAGTTTGTCCGTCTCCAAACATCGAAAAATAACTCTAGGAGCCACAGGAGAGAATAATTTCATATCTCATACATTAGTATCCTATGGTTCAGGAACGCGTCATTACCCGCTTAGTTTAAAAGATTTATCACAAAGGTCAAGGCTATTCTAACATGTTTAACTTAAATTTTAAATTTCAACTATTCAAAATCTTAAAAAAGAGACTGCTTTCATACTTTAATAAAAAGTTTTATGATAGATATCCTTGATCTTTATTTGTTCCTAAAAACATTGCTGTATAATTCTGCTTTAAAATTGAATCAATGTGTTTGAACTGTTATAGTTAGATACATTGTGTGGCTCTCTGAAAAATTGCAGGTAGACGGATGTACCGATCTGTTAACCTAAAATCTTTAGGGGAACTACAGCTCTGTGGCTAAGTTAAGAATTGATATCTCCGTCGGACCCCTATTTAAAAAAAGAATTTCTTGTTTCGTTTTTTTAAAGTACGCTCATCCAGGAATTCAGGAGAGACATCTGATTTTTTTTTATTAACCAGACTCTTTTACTATTATGATTAACTTTACTTTACGAGTCAGTAATTACTATGTGCCACTTCGTTATGCATCATTAAGCAAGTTACTGGCCGTGGCGTGAATGCTAAGAAAATCACGTAAATAATTTCTCATATTACACATTATTGCTACAGAGAGCACATATCATACATTTACCTCTGGTGTAGCTACTGAAACCTCAAACAGTCAGCTTCCACAGTTTATAAAATTGAGTTGGTTTACATTTCATGTATATGCATGAATCCGACCATTCAATATACTGATATCAAAATATTGATACAGTACTTATAATTATACTAAATGTATTATATATACTATATATTAATTCCTTTGATACTTTTTTCATCCAGAATTATGAATTAAGAACGTTAACGTAAAGGATGTAAAAAGAAAAAAATATACATATTGGAGGAATCTGCCTGATGAATTTAAATTTCCGATTCTTTACACCCCCTGCCACCCCCCACCCCCCCTTAAAAACATTATACACAACAAAGAAACAAAGAAGAAATACTTAATCACCGAATTTGTATTTTCTTGGCCAAGTAAAAAAATTATCTCACTTGAATATTTTTTTTATTTGACTAAGAATATAGATACATCTTTTAACATGTATTTTTCTGACAATACAAAATAAATGAAACAACACTGGAAATGTATTCTCTTACCTTGAATTATATTTTTCGCTAGATTCCATCGCAAAATTTTTCAGCATACCCAATACCCAAAACTAGTCAGCTAAAGCTTCAAATACTATGGCACGAGCATACTAAAGACGAAGCTAAGGTCATCTAAAAAATCAAGACTATTGAACCAAGAAGACAAATATGCACACAAACGTCACAAAGAGGTCGTCAATTCTTCCTTTTTCTGATTATGCAACAAATACTCGGCGTGTTCTTGCAGAATCTTGATCCAATTCTCACATCTGACGTCTCCTGTCTAATTTTGCGTGTTTTACGAGTTATATTTAAATCGTAAATTATTTGACACAAGATATTTGAAATTTTTGTAGTATGTTATCAGTTTAAAAATTGGTTCAGACATAAAAATCTGTACTATATCGGGCATTAGAGATTACGAGTCTAATTAGAACACCACCTCACAGTGTGAGCACGGAGCAGTTATCACATGAAACAGTAAGGGAGCGTAATAGTAATAAGATTTATTAGGTAACGTTAGAATGTCTCCAACAGCACAGAACACGTGCGGATCCAGTGTTAGCAGTGTAGCATTTAAAGTCAGTGGCCCTATGGAAATCTGAAACTGCAATTTGTCTGCATGAAAAAATAAAACACCCATGAACTGTATTCGCATATTCAGAGATGTTCAGTGTAGTGACAAAACAGATTGATCGTACTTAAGTTAACCTAAAGCAAACATTTATTCTGTATACAGAATGTGAGAGCTAAAATGTTTTCTCTTGTGGCGGTTAGGCATGTTTGATCACTGGTTACCAGATAGAATTGGTAAAACACACGCCTAGAGTTCAGGGATCCGGGTTCGAGTCCTGGTCTGGTCCTGTTACATTTGGTGCTGTCCGTACCCTAACAGTTGGGAGACCTGTTATGGATGAGCCTGGGTTATTTCTTCTAGAGCGAAGTCAGGAATGTGGCGATCAGGCAGGTTCGACTGCCGGTGGCCAGATAGCTAAATTAGAAGAGCGCCTGGCTATTGTTCGGTGGTGGTGGTGGGGGGGGGGGGGGGAGTTCGAATCCTGTATATACGGATCCTTTTCATTTCTTCCTTACTATTAACTTTCTTTCTCTTTGAATCATTCGGACAAATGAATGTATGTTAGTAGTGGTTTCTTCCCAGCACACATTGATGGCAAGTTTTACTTAAAAGTAAATCTTATTAGAAATGGTGATGTAAAACAATTTTAGGACAGACAATTAATTATGAACTAAAAGAAAACTTAGATCGGCTGTAACTTTGGGAATGACTGACTCAGTCTTTTGATTGTTTATTACATTTTCCTGTAAAATACAAATTTTCTCCTAATTACTCCACGCAGATGCAAAACCAATGTGATGCTTGGCACACTGATTGCATACCTGTTCTGAGCTATCTAGCAAGTTTGCTGTTGAATATACTCTATGTCACACAGTATCAGGGGCCCTTCTCTACTCGACCGTTACTCTCGCTTTTTGAAGCCGTTAGAAATAGAGCTTTTCGTGGCCGAAGGAAACGGGAAGGGGATGGAGGGGGGGGGGGGGACATGCCCCAATTATTTTGCTGATATATAGTATACTGTAGAAAACATAGCTACGTTTTGCTTGTGTCCCCTCAATAATGTCTGATGACCCCCTTTTTCTGGTTGTCAAGGAATTTTTGCTTGGTACTGCCTCCCCCCCCCCCTCCCCCCCCCCGTCTGAAAATGTTTGGTAGTGCCCACCCAACTGAAATTGCTTCCTACGGGCCTGCTATTTACTACATCTTTGATTTTTTTTTTTTTGGGGGGGGGGGGAGGGGGGGTATTTTGCTTTTCTAAATCATGATTGTAAAAGTGAAATGTAATTGAACCCTACGTGACCACATAACATCTTTTAATGTTCGCTTTCATGTCTCGAGGTTGCGTTAGCTGCAGCTCTCTGGGAAAGGAAATTCGGACAGACATACCAGAAAGCTACATATCTACCCATTGTTAAAACGTTCGATTTGCAGTCTCTCTTTTATCACAAGTTTTGGATAATATTGCATTACGTATAATGGATCGCATCATATGCATTCTCCCAAAGGCTGGTTTCCGTTCCAGGAATTACATATTTTACTCCTATTCTTGTTACTTCGTTTACCTTTAAGCTTCAAATGGTCCTCTAGAGGCTTGAAATGTCACCGTCTCAATAACTGTAAAATAGTTCAGTAATTCGTTATTTTAATGCGTATAAATCGAAGATTTTTAAAAATGAGTAGATCCAGAACAAAGAGGAAAAAACGGCTATTAAAATCATTAAAGAAAACAAAACAAGAAAATTTAGTAAATCTCTCTCTGGTGAAAATTGAAGTAGTCTGTTTCAGACTGTATACTCCAAAGTTCCAAGTCGATTAATGGTATCACTGGAATAATCTTCTCAAGCCGTGAAAACAGTATTGTATTTTAAAATAAAATCGATTTCATTTTGCACATGGATCACTGGGTCATTTAAAGGATTAAAAGCCTGACAAAGAAATATCAGGCAATACACATGGACAAGCTGCATTGTGAAATTAACTTAGTCATAACTGGACTTAGTTTGTACAAAGGTTTTCTATACACAGCCTCTATCCCTAGCAGGATAAGGGCTCCCATCGGGACACGGGTTATTTGTCCCCAGTGATGGAAAATGGCTTCTCTTTTCACGCAGGAAGGGGATGGAATGATAGTAAAAGCAGGATGGATATTTAGACAAAGTAAGCACCATAACAACAATGCAACAATAAGCATGTTACTTTATTAATCTCATAAGATCAAGAAATTAGGATTTAAAAAGTTTTTCTCCTTGAAATAATGGATTCTAAAATAAATAATTTTCCAATTGAGACAATTTTTTGAAAATAAACTTGGGATTATTTCGCGTGTTTAATCCATTGTTAAAATCAGCATTACGAAACAACTGACCAAGAAAGTTTAAATCGATAATTTTTAAAACTTTTCTTTTGTTAAATTACAGGACTCGAGAGAATTAAAGAGCTAATTCGAACGGTCATTGCTGACCTGTAAACATACGACTTTTTCTGACATAATGCTTGGGTACATAAAATCAAAATCTGCCCCAAAACTTACAAAAATTTCGTTGCCCAAACGTAAATTATATTCATAAGGCAAACCATATTATGTGAATGAGTTTATTTTCTGATTTTCGCATTTGTAGAGGCCTTTTTTCGGAAATGGAAGAAAAGTTGGATCGTCGTCTGCTCGGGGGGAGCCGTGAGGGTGTTCAAAAATAAACGATCCCCACGTCCTCAAAAATCATACGATCTCAAAATGGACTGTATCGTCATCAAAACTGGGCGTCAGGTTTGTTTCAAAAAGATACACCAATTTAATTCACGTTGAGCGTTTTGGGGGTTGTCTTCAAAGTTTGAAAGACCCACAACTGTTTCAGTACCTCCATCGCCAGGAACGTTACTTTAATTCTGTGTCCATATACCTTCACATTAGCATTAAAAGTTCTTTTTTTGTTTTTGTTTTGTTTTTTAAACTTCTAGATACAATCTCTCTATGTAATCAGTTCATATTATTGTTTACTTGCAGTGCCAATACCTTCTCCCACCAAACGGGATAGACTCATCAGCTCTCATAGAAATCGTTTTGACCGGTGATAGGGCCATTAAACTTTGCGCAAATGACGCGGAAACGGCAAGGTGAGTCTCAAAATCGTGTTCCAACCATTTTCATCAACAATTAACATGTACAATGTATTATATACGAAAGCCTATTAGGATCAAACTACGGTAAAAAATTTTTTTAAAGGCGTTATAACGCCTTTTTATAGGGCGTTATAACGCGAAAAAAGGCGTAATAACGCCTTTTTTAAAAGGCGTTATTACGCCTTTTTTAAAAGGCGTTATTACGCCTTTCTAAAAGGCATTAATATGCCTTTCCAAAAGGCGTTATCATGCCTTTTGAAGAGCCATTATTATGTCTTTGACAGGCCCGTGCTTTTGAGGTGGGGGGGGGGGGGGCAGTCTCCCATAAAATTGACAAGCAAACAAAAAACACCCCCCTCCCGAAAAAAATAAACTGCCTAAACTTGAGAGGAATCTTTTTCTAACTTTTCGGTAAAACTTTTTTAAATGCAATGACTTGCCCCAGTTTAACCATACTGCAACAAAATGTTAAGGGACCAAGCAATCAATAAATGAATTTTTATATTTAAACTATAGCAAGACTATTCTCCCAAAATATATGAAAGACTGAACCAAAGCCATCTTTATTTATGCAATATTTAGATTATAGTTTTAATATTATAAATTATAGTATTTTCTATATTCCTGCACATCTCGCAGACAGCTGTTTCCATGCGTATTAAGAAAAGTCAACATTCTACTTTTGAAAATCCATGATACAGGCAGAGCCAGTTTTGGGCTTTGCAAGCGATGTATTAAAAATTCATGTCAAAGGAGATGGGCGAACATAGCGTGCAGAAAGCCTATTGCTTCAGAAATATAAAAATCATGTTCAGTTTGTGAATTTAATATTTAGAGTAAAGTTATCATTATTGAAATTTATGAAATTGTGATAAACAAAACTTTTCTGAGGAAAATTTTCTCGGCAAAATTTATTCTTTTATTAAAAAAATTATAATGTGGTATTCGTGGGGTTCGAACCCTAGCAATAAAAATACTGAAGTATCATTTTCTTTCGAGACTAGCACGCCAACCAATAGACTACACAAGTCCTGATGAATCATATTTGTGGTATGACCCTTGACTTAATGGACTTCTAGTATTTCTCGAAAAGATGCGAATGTTATGTCATAAAAGTATATTTTTAAGGTAAAGTGGGTCATTGCTCCATATTTTGGTAACCAAAAAATGTATATTTTAATGTAAACTTTAAGGATTAACTTTCGAAAAGGTGGAGCGAAGACCCACTCATATCGAAAAATAGTGTTATAGTATGAGAAAATGACTCTTTTTGCCCGCTTTAGTGTGTGTCTAATATTTACAGGCAAATAATTTCAATCTTTGAGGGATTTTTGCAAATTGTAGAGATTTTACATAAAGTATATTTTAATGTTAGAGGAAATATCAAGGAAAATTTTGATATAATTGAAATTTATAATTTTTCATCTTCATGTTTGTCACACTATAGGCTTATCGCTCGTCATGTTCACCCATCTCCTTTGAAATATTTTTCTCTCCTCTTGGGAAAAAACAGGCAAACTATTTGCATAGGTATAATGAGCAATAAGCCTTCAACCAAATTTCTGAAATCCATGCACCTTGGAAGAGGTGTCTGGCATCAGAGAAGGACTAAGGTGGTTTAAAACTGAAAATATTTTACACATTTAAAATTTTTTTTCCCTGGAAATCTAATTATAATCAGCCCCCAGGGTGGGCTAAGTAAGTCATGTATTGAAAAATAAGAGGCGTAATAACGCCTTTTGGAAAGGCGTACTAACGCCTTTTGGAAAGGCGCAATAACGCCTTTTGGAAAGGCGTATTAACGTCTTTTAGAAAGGGGTAATAACGCCTTTTGGAAAGGCGTAATAACGCCTTTTAAAAAGGCGTAATTACGCCTTTTTTCGCGTTATAACGCCTTGTAGAAAGACGTAATCACGCCTTTATTTGCGTTATTACGCCTTTTTCCGCGTTATTACGCCTTTTGAAAAGGCGTTATAACGCCTTTTAATTTTTTTTTTCCACCGTAGTTTGATCCTTATAGGCTTTCGTAATTATGAATCCCAATTTCGTTCATTCAAGCAAATTCTTTCCATGCCAGTAGCTGGCAACCCAATCATGATATGCGCGGATCTAGAGGGGGGGTTGTCGGGGGGTCCGGACCCCCCTGGAATTTGCAGAGTTATTAAATGTATATACTAAACCAACTAAAAGTGACCTTGGACACCCCCCCTCCCTTCGAAAACGCCGATCTGTATATAGTTGGTACGAAATTAAAAGTCATAGGTATGAAGCTATAGAAGTCAATGACTAACCCCCCCCCCCCCCCTTCAACGTTTGGAAAAGGAGTTTACGGGTTTTTGTTTTTTCTTTTGCGCTTGTCAAGAATTTTCTATGTTGGAATTTTTATTTATTTGGACTGGGGTGGACACCCCTAGAAAAATTCCTGGATCTGCGCCTGCATGACACCCCTTTTGAGGGGGGGGGGGGGGGGGCTTCATGCATTCTATATGAATATTCTGGCATGTAACCTAAGAATAAAAAAAAAATCCCCTCCCCCCCCCCTTCAGTTGCCAAGGCACCATTGTTTAACATGAATTTAGGACTGGTAAGGAACTAGATATGCTACAAAGTGAACACAACCTGCGGCTCACCACCAGTGTCTGATATACTGAGTTATTGTACATTGTCTTGTTATTGAATCAATGTCAGTGATGGATAATTGATGTTTAACTAAATAACATACAATTAAAGATTTCACTGACATTCAAAAAAGTTTCCTCCCTTCTATTTACCTTTCTGATTCACTGTAAATGCATTCATATACAATTTTGCAAACTCAATGGTTAGTGGCTGCATGTAATAGATCAATATTTATATCTATTTATGTAGGATGTGGCTGAGCGCATTAACAAAGGCTCACTCTGGTAAAGATCTACCAACACCACGTTGGGAACGGCGAAACTTAAACAAAGAAGAAGTCCTTAATTTAGAATATCAAAGGTCTATATTTTTATTACAACTTATTTCACTTTGTTGAATTTCCTCATAAGGAATTTTAAATAATCTTAAGTCCGTATCATATATTTCAGTTGCTGGTACTCATGCTGTAGGAATAATCAAGTGGACGATTTTTGACGATGGCCAAATCACAACTGTGCAATACTGCTAGTCTCCAGGAAATTGTTCATGACTTTTTTTTTCGCTACTTTATGTGAAATGTATATTAATATATTAGTCATTTACAAAGAAAAGATTTTTCAATGCATGTTTTGATAAACCTAATTTGATCCATTTTCATATTTGAGTGCTTTGCTTTCAGAAACTATCTTTAAAGGGGGTTTTTATATGTTTTCCATTCATTAGTCTTTCAGAAATATTAAACCTGAAGTCATTTTGATGTAGTTCTTTATTCCTGTCAAGAAAAGCCTGCCATTTTGGCTAATTGTTGTGTTTGTCTAGAGCTAGCACATCCTGGACAGGAATGTAGTGTTTCATGGATAAATAAATCACAGTCCAAACAGAAAATCTGCTCACAATTGTCACATACATATACCTACAAATAAAAAGATATTATTAAGTTGCATTTTTTTTTCATCCTGTTTTTCATAAACTGATCAAATAAGATTTTCAGGTGTACTTTAATACCTTGCACATTATTACGTTTAATACTAAGGAAGTTGGCAATTATATTACAACTTACTTTTGTTATTAAAGGGGCAGGGGGAGCCAGATTTTTAAATCAATATGAAGTGCATCCTGTATAAAAATATTTTTATGCAAGATTTCTATTTTAAATAAAACGAGAGAAAAGAAGGCCAACATCAAATACTCAAACACTGAGTCCATGCCCCTTTAAAATAAGCCTCTATAATTTCATTCTTTCTAGCCACATTATTATACACTGAACTTACATTAAGTTCCTGAACAGCTGATTGACAAGAGAAGCATATCCTACAAAATAAAAATTACGCTTCAGTATTTCCAGTACATGTATTTCAGCAACCAAGGTCTCCAAAATAATCAATCTTTTAAAGAACTCGACCCACAATATGCCTTATATGGCCTAGCAAATATGAAAAAATTAAAGAGGGCTTTAGAATAAATGTTTTTGGTAATTCGCACCCTAGAACATTGACACATTTCACACGTGTAACAATTTCGTCGAAACCGGATGTTAATGATGTCAAACTAAATTCTAAACCTCACCATGGTTCGAGGTTTTCCGGGAAAATGCCAAAAATTGCACAGTTAATCGTGATTTACACATAGGGCACATTCGTTACGGCAAAATATTAAAACAGAAAAGTAACAATCACTATTCGAGAAATGTTTTCCAATGAAAATATTTAACCGTAACGAGTGTGCTCGTGTTGAAAAAAGAAAAAAATCATTGCGTGTGAAAGAACTATCATGGCCACAAACTGTATTTCCTCGTGTTTTACACAAATTTAAAGCATCCATTCAAAAGGGGTATTATATTTATTGGGTAAGTGGACAACACACTTCTATCCCACATGTAAAAAAATTGTTATATGATGCGCCGATAAGCACATCTGACGATTAGAACATGTGATGATTTCTAAAATGCAATAAAAATGTCGATTTTTCGACAGTTTTTTTTTTCAAAGACGAGGCCACAGGCAAGAACAATTGTCATACTTACCATCTGTATAAATACCACAAATACAAATGTACATGCCCATTATTATCGTTGGTCCTGCTTGTGGCAAATACGAAATTTGACTTTATAAATATCAGTTTATTTTGAAACCTTCAAGAATCAATAGTTGTTGATAATCAATCCTTAATGGGTGCTTCATATTACACTTAGGATCCATAGATAACACACAAGGTGATAGAGAAACACTCGATTGTTTGTTTCATGTGCAGACAATTAAGTGGAAAAGAATCTATAAATTTACATTTTCTGAAATCGAAATTGGAAAAAAAAAACATTATGATCATGTATGTTGTACGTGACGTTACTCATTATATACGTCATTTGTGACGTCATAAAAGATGTAGTCATTGTGGTTTTGCTAAATTAAAAAACTTTTCTATTTCTTTTATGGACCTAGCTTGCTGTTGTTTTGTTAAATGTATGAATTAGAAAGAGGAAAAAATATCTTTAAAATAAATCATTACAAATTTTAACATTGAGATTTTCTGTAAACTGGATCCAAAATAGAACTCATATGCGGGTGCGTAAAACGCACGTCTTTGACGAATCCCCGTGTGGAAACAAACATACAAAATTTGTATAAACATGTAGTCGCAATCAATCTTTATTTTTGTACCTATATGCCAATCAAATAATTCTTATGCACATGCATATAAAAGCGTGAAAAGTAATTTTCATCCTTTTTCAAAGGAAGGATACTTGTCTGGTTTCTGACTACCGGTAAATAAAATATTCAAAGTATATTTGCTCGTATATCTTTTATTTACATCGACAGTATTTGTTCTGATACACGTATTTTCGTTTATGCGACATACTTCAAATGTGTTTTCAGAAGCAAAATGCATATTTCAAATATATGTCCCTATGGAAATGGACATTACTATAAATATTCAGGTATACGGGGCATCGTTTTTTTTTAAAGAGGTGGGAGTGGGTGTCATCAAGAAAAATGAATGACATGACGAGCAAAAAAAAATGTCATACACTTTGACAAGAAAAAAGAAAAGGGGAATTGATAGATGTATGTTTAAAAAAAATCATAATTATTCAATCGTGATCGAGTACATTAATGTCAATAACGAGTAAAATCTGTAGATCTATGGTAATTACCGCAGTCTTATGTATTAATTGTTTAATTACCACAGTCTTATGTATAAATTGTTCTTATCAAGTTTTATTGACCAGTAGAACCCTCGTTACAAATGACTGTACACTGATTAACATTTAAACACAATATACATGACCGTAGGAAGTTAGGAACGGGGGAATATGCCAATTTATATATTACTATAGAAAACCTAGCTACTATATGTTTGTGCCCCCTTAATAAAAACGTCTGATGACTTTTTTTGGCTCTTTAAGGAATTTTTGGTAGTTGATAGTGCCCCCCCCAACTGAAAATGTATGGCTGTGCCCCCCCCCCCCCCTCCAACTGAAATAGCTTCCTACGGGCCTGATATACATAGGATGGCTTAATTTTCAGGCACGTAGTATTCGAAAGGGGGCATTTTTCTTAGAAGAGTCTTTCATTCGAAATCCTATTTTTTATTTATTTGTTTATTTTTTTTTTGGCAGTATGATTGAGGCATTTCAGTAAAATAAAAAAAAAAAAATATTAGAGTCAACGATGGGTCCATGGATTTTTTCAAAGGGGGTTGGAAGGTGTGGGGGAACTATACCCACTCAAAAAAATCCGACTGAAATTTTTTTGACAAAGGAAAACAGTTTTAACGCGAAAAACCTAATCGGGGTGGGGGGTGGGTGGATAGTTGGACACTTCTCATTGGCAAGCAGTCTTTATATATATGTACGTTTCTTCTGACCAAATGCAGATCCTTTGGGGTGGGGTGGGAATGGGGGGAGGGGTGGCAAGTTATTTTTTTTCTTACTTTACATTTAACTACTCTGAAATCTTAACTCCCACTGAATCCGCTACTGAGATTGGTTGTTTCTCACCACACAGTGAGAAGGGGTGGGATGACATTAAATCATAAGTGCATTACATATGCATGCAATTTTATCAGCATTAATTTGAAGTATGGGATTTATTTAGAGCTACAATTCATGACTATATGATTAACTAGGCATCGGGAGAGATTATGTGTTTGTCAACTCAAATGTATAGTCAGCGCAATGTAGAATATGTATAAAGACAACCCCTGAAATATGTTCCCGAACACATGTCTGCAAGTTATTTACAGCTATTTTTGCTGCAGCGAAATAGAAGTTAGAGTATGTCTTTGTGTTTTAAAAATATTACACCTCCCCTTCCCACCTTGCATCTGCCATAATTGTTCAACACAGAAATATTCCCTATTACAGGTTTTATCCTCTTCTCTAATTCTGCCTGTAGTAGGGTCTTGTTCATGTAAAATCAATCTAGCGCCGAGTAAGTAAAATGTTCTTGCCTGTACATGTATTTCAATTACTATCTTGACATGTATATTTATAAGCTTTGGTTTACGTACGCAGCACTGCTCTATTTGTAAACATAAAAATCATAACGTGAAAATGAAATAGAAAGTAGTGAATGTTATAGTAACATAGAAGAAAGCATATTAAATTAATTATATTTTATAGATCTATCGATAATGATATGTTTTGAGAAAAAAGGAAACATCACTTATCTCTACAACCCGGCACGAATCACCAATTTATTTATTTTTTAAATAAATACACTATCCATGAGGTTGAGTTGCGGCCGAATCTCCCGCACGCGTATGAAAGTTTGGTTTGCAATATAGATCAGAATTTATCTAAATGCCACATGTACTCTCTTTGTAAAAAAAAAAACATTCAAAATGAGTATAAGCACAAATTTCTATCTTTATTAATTTCTTGCAGTAAAGATATATTTTGAACAACATATCAGGTAATACTTATTATATACTCTGTTTATTCTTAGGTGGGGAATTTACTGGTACATGTATACATATTTATATAAAATGAACATCTTATATATTCATAAATTGATTATGATGTTGATAAGATAAATGTCTATTCCCAATTATTTAATTTCAAGTCCTGTGTTCATATATCGGTACATTATAATTCGATAGTCATTTCTATCGCCTTTTGACGTGACGTTACATTACAAAAAATGACGTTCCTATTGTATTTTTCCATCAAAACATTGCCATACTGCAAGATCTCCTTTTAAAAAAGTATAGAAGATATCGAAAAAAGAAAAACGCTTATGAAAAGCTTAAAGTCTACACTATCTATCATAAAAACCACGTTAATTTTTGGAATGAGGCCATTTTTGATGGTTCGTGGATTTTGCTCTTTATATGAAAGAAAGATTACATGAAAGTATTAAAATTATAAACATGGAGCAAATAGAAGTTTCGAATGATTAATTCAGTTCATGTACAGTACATTAAACTTACACGTCTGATCCAATCTGAGCTACAGGAATTTCACGGAATTGTTCTAATGGAAACAGGTGATGATATGAACGAGCCAGGTGTGGGGCTGACACCAGAGTTAGGCCTGAAATTTCAACAAAATCACTGACTTAAAATGTATAGATAAGTCTAAGTTAGGCCTGGAATTTCAACCAAATCACAGACTTAAGGGGAAGAAGGACCTTGAGCTGAAAAAATGTTTGTCATTCAATTCTTTTCATATTTTGAATATTTCTAATTAAGTATGTCCCACATATCTTAAAGCAGTTATATCTTTAGGTTTCTTACCTTATTTTAGAGATATTGATTGACCAATACTATGCATGTCCTACAGTATCTAAATGAAGTTTTAATTCTCCATGTTTCTGGACTCATTACCCTGTCCATATTGGGATTTTTTAACCATATATAAAAAAATATGGAAGTGGGGCCAAAATAAAAAATACCTTTGTTTCCCCTAACGCGACCGACCCACTTAAATCGTGCCGACTGAAAAGTTTTTTTGATAAGATTATTCAAATATTTTTTTTTATTGTTTATCAACTCTATAAAATACAATTTCATTTTTCTATTGTTTATCAACTTTATAAAATACAATTTCATTAAAATTCATATTTTATCAGAACGGCAGCTTTTGTTCTACTCTCATTTGTGTGGCCACAGAAAGTTAGCTCATGTTATAAAACAACGGCGATTTATCAATCTTAATATATATCTTTAACTTATTAGAATCTTACACTCTTGAAACATTTCGTGAATTAAATATACCATGACTAAGGAGTGTTAAGATGGTATTTGCAAATGTGTCTTCTAAATTAACGTATGTAGTAAGCATGGCAAAGCCTGCCTCATGAGCAGATGAGGGGCCCACCTTGTGTATTGGATATCAATAAATTTCAATGCATTTCTTTCATTTCGATTTAATAAACACTTCATGTATGATTCTATTTTTACTATATAGGACCATAGGAGTTTGTAAATGTTTTTGTATAATTATTTCATCTTGATAAATGTAATTTAGATTTTCTTCATTTCTTTTATTTATGGGGTAAACTTCGTGACTGACTATAACATTAGATATATATATGAAACTTTAATCATTTTAGATATGGTTTGGTTGAATTAAATATTGTTTATACAGGTACACTCTTTCCAAATATAGTGTTGAAATTTTTTTTTTTAAATTGGCTTACAGTACGGCTTCCTGAGACATCCTGTGTATTTTTCTTTCGTTATAGGCCCTTGACAATAGGTTGTTTCTTTGCTTTAAATTACCTTTAAAAATTGTTGGGTCGACAACATTTGAACACCTGTCTGGTGGAGGGCTCCTAATTTTGACTTTTTTCTCAGTATTTATGGTCATTGATCATAAAGCATCAATAAGAATCTTTTTCGTGCCAACATCTACATGCATACTGCAACACTGCATGGATCTACGTTTTTACAGTCTCATTTGACTGACCAGTCTCCACGTCCCTCGTCGGGACCTGTGACTTACAATAAGCTCCTGAATTACGTTGTGACTCCAAAACGAAACACTAGAATTACTGCGCAACGCGAGGCCCTTTACATTTTGTTTGTGTAAGCACTCGAAGATGATACTAGGTTTGAAAAAAAATATACTTGGATGGCAGATGGTTGAGTATTTGAAAATCTTGTCTTTCTGTAAAAATTCGATTTCAATAAATTTACGCTGGCCTGAGATAAGTTCAAAATGAAATGAATAATATTTGTAAATTAATTTACCATACATGTTGCTTTTAAATTTCATTTGTATGATATTCGGTTTAAAAATCGGTTTCTTTTGTTCTTTCTTATTTATAAAGATTTTATTTAATTTTTCAGAATGTATTTTCAAAACTGCTGTCAGAAAAAAAATAATTTACCTACCTACCTACCCAACTTGAAATTTTAGGGTCAGGTTAGGGGAAACAAAGATATTTTTAATGATGGCCTGGACATGTATCTTTTAAAATATTTCAGAGTATGAATAGGGTTTAAAATTCGAAAAAGCAAGTTTCTTCTATCACACTGCATCTGGATAGGGAAAATTACATACTTTTTAAGACAACTTAAACAACAAAAAACGTAATTTACAAAAAATTCTATCATTCAATATTTTTAAATTTACGTTGAAATGCAAGTCCTTCAAATTACTGATTAACAGTACAAATTCCGAGTGGTGAAGCTGACCTCAATATTACACAGGACATCGTTAAAGAGGACATAAGCATGACAAAAACGTGTCATGTTAACATTTCTCAAGTACGGGAAAAATCAACTATGATGTCACACATAAGCTAAATAAGCTAAATATGATATACCTACATAAGATTTCCATCATCAGCCATGCAAAAATAGTTTTTGTGTTCCACGTTTCTCAAAATATTTTATCATATACTGAATATGACCTGTTTTTACATAATAATACTGCCCCTGTATTCACTGAGTATGATCTTGCTGTACTAACAGATCGTGTATGACGTCACCGACTTGTTGGATGCATAGTTTAGGGAAACAGAGGAGTGGATCAATCTTTTCATAATTTGTTAATGTTTACAAGAATGTTAAATTTTTAAAATTGGTAATTAAAGTAAAAAAAATGTCAAAAATTTATACATGAACTGATGCTTTACACGTTTTGCACTTATATAAACGGAGACTATGACGTAGTTAAACAGAGTTGTGTGACCATGTGTCCTTCATCCCCTTAATTGTATAGATAAGTCTACGTTAAGCCTGGAATTTCAACCAAATCACTGACTTAAACTGTATAGATATGTCTAAGTTAGGCCTGAAATTTCAACAAAATTACTGACTGTATAGATATGACTATTAATGAAAACTTAAAAATATGTCATTATACTCACCACATGCCTTGCATTCAATGGGCAGTTCACAGTATTTACTTTTACACTGGGGACAGAAATACCCTGTGCTACTGAAGCCCTGGCCATTCTTGCTGTCAAGATGACTGTAATATAGGAAAAAAAAAATTAAATTAAAAAAAAGACGATGTGAGAATTTTGAAAGTTTTATATAACATTCATAATTTTTAAAGATAATAAAAAGTTTTTAAAAGTGACTAGTTTTTAAGATGAGAAAATATTCAAAGGGCAGTAACTCTGTTAATCTCTAAGCAGTGAAATAACAAATGGTTCATCTTAGAAGGGGCAAAAAATCTTTGACATTGTACCACATGCACATGGATGGTCTCTCTTCTTTGTCTGAACTGAGTTGATGATGAGGAAAACCTGTAACAAAATCTCTGCATAGAAATCTTCAATGTCAACAACTTCTACATAGAGTTCAATTTATTTTTTTAAACACATTTTCTTCCTTACAAATATGTTGCTTATCTTTATGTATAATATTCCCTAGAGATACAAACTACCAGACCCCAAAGCAGATTTTTGGATTACCAATATGCCTAATACACTGAAATAATTTTGACAGTTAACAAGAGGCCCAAGGGCCTACATGGTCACCTGAGTATAATACAACCCTGTAAAGGATCCATAGAATGGCAATTTAATAACTACTTGTATATGTTAGAATGAATAAATTGATAGATGAGGATATATTGCTCTGAACAACAGAAATAAATCAGTAAATAAAATTTTTGAAGATTGCATTAATTTGATGGTTTTGGCCCCACTTCTCAGGCCCAAAAGGGGGGCAAAGACCATGAAGTTCTTTTCACCATTGCCCATAGATGCTATATACCGTTGGCCAAGCCATTCCAGAGAAGAAGCTGAAAACGTTTAATGGACAACTGAACAGGTGACAAATGATGATGGACAAAAACAGAAAGCACTAGATCACCTGAGTGACTCAGGTGACCTAAAAATAGGATTAAAAGTTTCCTTTCTCTTAGACAAATGTTTAAAATCCATTTTAAGCCATATTTTTGAACCATACCCATTCTGATGAGTGATGACTCTGTGTTTGCCTATAGAAAAAAAAACAACAGAATATGAGATGATAGAGTTGACAGTGATATAATTATAATATGATGACAAGAACAGCCAGCCATTTACTACTGGATACTGACCGTAGCTGGTGGAGGAGTGACATGGTGTGTAAGGAGATCTTTATAATGACTCTCGTCCAGAATTACATTGTAGCTACCTAAATACAGGGGGACGAAGACAGTTAAACAACAGCTCTAATTCAACTAAATGCAACATGAAATAGTCTAAACTCTTGATAGACTTACAAAGAAGATAAAAATATCATTATGAATGAAAAAGAATCCTAAATGATTCTAATTGTTCATGAATCAATATTGTTAAAACACTGTGTTAATTGGAAATTTTACCATGTGTTTCCTTGCATAACTTTTTACAGATGCACACCTCTGCTGCCAAACCTATGACGGAACATCTAACATTTCCATCTTTAAGGACCTGGAATCCAATAGAGTAAAAATATACTGAAAATATACCCATGAAATAGTCTAAACTCTTGATAGACTAAGAAATATTAAATTTAAAGCCACTGACAAAAATGATTATTTTTATTAAAGCATACTGGAAGCATACGAGGGTTGTTAGAAAAGTTCGCGGACAAGTTCTGTTGTGAGCGCGCTATTTCCATGAGACCGGTTAAACTCTCCAGATAAAAACTTTACCTATTTTCCAATAAATATACAAAGATTTGGTATTTTCCGGTGATCCTTAAAAAATATGCAGCTATATTATTTTGATAAAACATGCTTTATGGAGCATGCTACTTTTCGCACGTTTACATTACATAGACTTTTTATTGAAATCAAAAATTGCACAGTTGTAGCGCAGAAAGCATTATGTTATTTTACCTGTCGCTAGAGTATTCATAAAACGTCACTTTCCGAAATTTTGAATTAAATTGGATGTTGTATGACTTTTTATAGCCATTTATAAATAATCAATGCGTAAAAACAAAGTTAAGAATGGGAACCTCATGGAACGTCATGGAGCACCGAGCTACTAAAAAATTATGTGTGCAGACAGGAAAATGTCTAAAATAAGCTAAAATACTTCTAGATTGCTGGAAATTGCCTACACGTACAAAGGACAAAAGTATTCAAAATGTAGTAGCTTTATAAGAATGGAACAATTAACATTTTTAATGATCAACTCCACCGATACCTCAATACCCCACTTATCGCATGGACGTTGTGGCTATGGATTTCGCATTGTTTCCATACCTGACCTCTTAACTGCGTAGACTATTATTTTAAGATCTCACTAATGTCCGAAACAACACAAAAGACATTATAGAAGAAAAGTAACATGTCTTGATATAGATATTTAACTTTTAAGTAGAAAAAAGACAAGAAAATTCAAAAGAAATGAAAGATATTTAGAACTATGAAAAAGCTCAAAGGGATTGAAATGTGATTATCACGTCACTTAACGTCAAGTGAATGCTCCGTGTATCCTATGACCGCATAGTAAAAATTGTTGTAATTTTTCAAAATTTTAGTAAATGGACCTGATTTTTTACATACTAATAAACAAAAGATAGGATTTTAATCAGACATAAGTCATACTTCACAGTACACAATAGATTTTCCGTAAATCAATGTGTCCGCGAACTTTTCTAACAACCCTCGTACTTTTAAATAAACTGATACTTTTAATTTTGAATACCATGAAATCCAAGTGTGCACAGGTATAACAGACACACCCGATCTATCCCGGACTACTATTGTAAAACTACGGAGATAGTGCTGTGTATATTCTCAGGGTCACATGTCATCAGACTACTATTGTAAACTTACGGAGATAGTCCTCTGTATATTCTCAGGGTCACATGTCGTCAGACTACTATTGTAAACCTATGTAGATAGTGCTGTGTATATTCTCAGGGTCACATGTCATCAGACTACTATTGTAAACTTACGGAGATAGTGCTGTGTATATTCTCAGGGTCACATGTCATCAGACTACTATTGTAAACTTATGGAGATAGTGCTGTGTATATTCTCAGGGTCACATGTCATCAGACTACTATTGTAAACTTATGGAGATAGTGCTGTGTATATTCTCAGGGTCACATGTCGTCAGACTACTATTGTAAACTTACGGAAATAGTGCTCTGTATATTCTCAGGGTCACATGTCATCAGACTACTATTGTAAACTTACGGAGATAGTGCTGTGTATATTCTCAGGGTCACATGTCATCAGACTACTATTGTAAACTTACGGAGATAGTGCTGTGTATATTCTCAGGGTCACATGTCATCAGACTACTATTGTAAACTTACGGAAATAGTGCTCTGTATATTCTCAGGGTCACATGTCATCAGACTACTATTGTAAACTTATGGAGATAGTGCTGTGTATATTCTCAGGGTCACATGTCATCAGACTACTATTGTTAACTTACGGAGATAGTGCTCTGTATATTCTCAGGGTCACATGTCATCAGACTACTATTGTAAACTTACGGAGATAGTGCTGTGTATATTCTCAGGGTCACATGTCATCAGACTACTATTGTAAACTTATGTAGATAGTGCTGTGTATATTCTCAGGGTCACATGTCATCAGACTACTATTGTAAACTTATGTAGATAGTGCTGTGTATATTCTCAGGGTCACATGTCATCAGACTACTATTGTAAACTTACGAAGATAGTGCTCTGTATATTATCAGGGTCACATGTCATCAGACTACTATTGTAAACTTACGGAGATAGTGCTGTGTATATTCTCAGGGTCACGTTGTCAGACTACTATTGTAAACCTTTGTAGATAGCGCTGTGTATATTCTCAGGGTCACGTTGTCAGACTACTATTGTAAACCTTTGTAGATAGCGCTGTGTATATTCTCAGGGTCACATGTCGTTGGACTGCTATTGTAAACTTATGGAGATTCTCAGGGTCACATGTCGTCGGACTGCTATTGTAAACTTACGGAGATAGTGCTGTGTATATTCTCAGGGTCACATGTCATCAGACTACTATTGTAAACTTACGGAGATAGTGCTGTGTATATTCTCGGGGTCACATGTTGTCAGACTACCCAGCACCACTAAGACTTCTCTGCTGGCATGTCCAGGCATATGTCTTCAAATCAAACAGAATACATGTCATAATTATAACAAGCAGTATATAGACAGTTTGGGTATTCAAAAAATGCAACTGACAAATAATGTAATCTGGAAAATTTCACTTTTTTTTCTAAACAGATTCAAAGACTATTTGTTTCCCTCTATATCAAGATATGCTCTTTTTTAAATAACATTAGCTTAATTTCGAATGAGAGGAAAAATACAATAGATTCAAATTTCTATATAGATATTAGATACAGGTCTGTAGCTCACTGGTCTGAAAAATAATTTGGATGAAAGACAGGTGGTCCATACCAATTTTTTTTAGACCAGTGAGCTACAGACCTGCAGCTAAATCTTTCTATATAAATAATTGCTAGTATGTGTCCTTCATAAATAGCAAAGTTAAAGATTCTTTGTTTACTTTTTTTTTGTAAGATAGAGAAAAATTGATTTACCCAGTGACACATGATTTAGTATATACCTGAGAGTTTGATTAGCCAGTTCTAATGAGTTCTGAAGAGAAGGTTCACCATGACACACCTGATCAGCTAGGCTCTGTAACATGGATATATGTCTTCTAGGATTTCCTGAAGAAGAAAATAAAGGTTATTTAGCAACATTCTCTTCAATATTACATTCATGGAACCATTGTTATGAAGTTGCTACAGTAAAACTCATTTAGTACAAACATGGATAGAATTTAATAGATTGAATTTATGGATATAGCAAAGATTTTTGGAATCCCCTGTGTAGTTAACAATTGCTTGTAAAATTTACACTTATAATGAACTCTGATATAGCAAATTTATGGAGATTGCAAACTGATTTTGTATCCCATGGAGTATAAAAATCACAAAATTTACATCTTTTTCCATTAATTTTCAAAAAAAATGTTTTGTTAAAATATAGAGCTTGAAATATTTAGTGTTAAGTATTTACATTTGAAATTCAGTTGATCCAAAAACTTAAATACTCAAAGGTAAGCTAAGCTTTGTATTTAATACTTCCAAGAAATTATTTGGTAGTCATACTTGAAGGAAAACATAAATATTGTGAATTCGCTATATATACTTTAATTAACAAAATTGATATACAGATATAATGAAACACAGATAAACATGTAGCAAAGTAAATTTGCAAGTCCCCAGGACTTCGCTTTTACCACATTTTACTGTACATGTATCCATTTAATTCAAGTTCTCCTTTTATAACTTGTTTTTTTTTAATGTTCAAGTTTTAAATGTACAAGCAGTATGGCTATTAAGCAGTATGGCTATTAAGAAGCTAAACTTCTTGCTTTAGCTGTCTTGTTAAAGTCTTACCTCCCAGCTCTGAAATCTTCTCTGCTCTTTTGTTCTTTGTGATAATGATACCTAGTTGACTGATTGGATTTTGATCAAAATATTCCTCAACAAAATACTCCAAAAGCTGAATTAAAAAAAAGAAAAAAAAAAACAATTATCATAAATTACCCCTGATAATCTACTTACAAGATCATTTTAATTTGCATTTATACCCATTTCTACAAATGATAATGATTTTTGGTTAAATCTTATTTTACTTGTACATGTAATAGATATACATGTATATCAGACATATTGTTCCTACTTTTAACGTTGATAAGAGACGAGTAGGTTTCAGATCTTGGTCACTCATGGCTTCTGAGATGTCAATAATAAGAAATAAATGTCTCATCTGAAAAAAAAGATACTGGTAGAAAGAGGCATAAACAAAGAGTAGATAAACAATAATGAAATGAAGTCTAAATTATTTTGATAACATTAATGACTGGAATTTTTTTTTCAATCAGAACAGCAGAACATCATTTCATTATGCTGATGATTATATCTACTTACCATACCAAGTCTGCATTACTGATTTTCCAGATGATTATATCTACTTACCACACCAAGTCTGATTTACTGATTTTCCATATGATTATATCTACTTACCACACCAAGTCTGATTTACTGATTTTCCAGATGATTATATCTACTTACCATACCGAGTCTGCATTACTGATTTTCCAGATGATTATATCTACTTACCATACCAAGTCTGCATTACTGATTTTCCAGATGATTATATCTACTTACCATACCAAGTCTGCATTACTGATTTTCCATATGATTATATCTACTTACCATACCAAGTCTGCATTACTGATTTTCCAGATGATTATATCTACTAACCATACCAAGTCTGACATTACTTATTTTCCAGCTGATTATATATATTTACCATACCAAGTCTGATTTACTAATTTTCCATATGATTATATCTACTTACCATACCAAGTCTGACATTACTAATTTTCCAGATGATTATATCTACTTACCATACCAAGTCTGACATTACTGATTTTCTCCAGGAGTTTCCTCCTCTTGGCTTTACTGACAATATCATCCACACTAGCTTGTAGCGAGCCTTTCTCATCTTCTTGAATAGCTTCCCTGTAAATGAAAGAATTATTCCAAAACTTCATAAAACAAGGGGACAAAGGACCTAGAATTGCTCTTCCAATAAATTGCACAACAGTGTCACTGTGACCTACTTTTGATTTGGCAAATCTACAGGACTCTAAGGCACCAGGATGCATCAACAGACAAGGTTTAATGATTCTAAACCTCGTAGTATGTAAAATATTTAGCTAAAATGTTTAAAAAATAAATAGATGTTAAATTCAGGAATTAGGTCATTGAAACCTACTTTCTGTTTTACACACTATAAGGCCTTCAAGATGCATCAACTGACAAGGCTTGATAATCCTAGGCCTCTCAGCATCAAAGATATAAAGATTTGACCATAAATAATGACAAAATGCAAAAAGCAGGTCACAGTGACCTCCTCTGGTTCAACATATTCTGAGGTCCTAGGATGCATCAAGTGACAAGGTTTGATGATCCTTGGCCTTACAGGCCTTATCTATAGATCTTTGGGAACTCCCATTTTTTTCCAAACATAACCAAACATAACCTTTTACTATTGAAAATGTTCATTGAAAGGCTGCCCCCCCCACCCCCTTTTTGATACAGTATAGTCAAATAAGGGTAATGTAGTAGTGTATGAATAAAATTTGGTACAAGTGTAACCCTATCTTTTGTGATCTTTGTTGCAGAAATGACATTAAAATAAAATAAAGCTGACAAGGACATTAAGAAAATAAATCTTACACAAAGTAAAAGTTGTATCTATCCAAGTCATGACATACAAAGGACAGAAGTGAGACATAAGTGAGTTTCCATAAAAACATTTTATGTAACTATTTATCCATTCAACAAAATTGAAAAAAAAGTCATAAAGTACTAAACAGAGCCAAAATATGCCCATTTATGTGGAGAAAGCCATCAACAAGGGATTTGTTTACACTGGAAACACTAATCTATTACTACAATGCTTGATGGTGCCAAAGACTTGGTTTTCGGGGTTTACTATATTTTTTTGAGTTCATCTAGACTGTATATACTATTAGTATGAGTAGAGTTGAAATAAATGGAGGACATATGTTCTTCAGAAATTCAATGATAAAATATCTTTCTTTAAGGTTGTGCCTTGATTATCTTTTCAAAGCAAAGTAATTCAAATGCTGAAGAGGAGCTAAAGGATCTCTCTCTTTCTCTCTCTCTCTCTCTTTCTCTCATGATCTAAAATGTCACCTGGTTTTGTATATATAAAGCAGTTTATTATGTACAGTACTACTACTATCATAATGAATATGTACTCCTTTGAAAATTCAATGTTGGCATAAGCATAAATACTATCATTCGGGAAGCTGACACTGTGTAAAAGGAAAGGAGAAAAATGGATGGATCAGACCAGGATTAGAACCTGGGCTCCCTGAATCACTAGTAAGATGCTCTACCAACTGATCTATCTCGCCACAGGCAATAAAACCTGCCTGACCACCACATTCCTCCCTCCGTAGAGTCTTTGCCCCCAAAGACTCCAACCCAGGCTCTTCCCTGGCAGGTCTATCACCTGTCACTTCCATGGCATGACACGACACCAAATGTCACAGAAAAGGAGAAATGCGACGGACCAGACCAGAATTCGAACCCGTGCCCCCTGAATCACTAGTTAGGTGCTCTACCAACTGAGCAATCTGGCCGTCGGCGATCGAACTCGCCTGAATGTCACAACTGATTTTTTTTTTAATCATTCAGAGTACATGGTCCATTCCAATAAATTTTCACAAATTAAAAAAAATAAAAAATAACAGGAAACTAAAAAGGGAACGATGAAAGAAGTTTATGAAAAAAGGCCGTAAAAATAAAAATATACCAAGTCCGCTCGTATTCTGTTTCCCATCTGTATCCCTTTTCATCTTCTTCTGCCATTCTGTATCTTTTCTTTCAAAACTCACAAACACCAAAAATGCAACAACATGCGACAATTCAGAGTGGTCTGCCCTTGATTTTAATAGTTAAACCATTCTGTAACTTTTCCGTAAACTTGTTCGTAAACAATTTACGGTCTATTCCATATAGGCAAAAAGGCTGTAGCCTACACATCATTTTCTCAGAGAGAAAAAAGTGGTTGAAAAAAGGGAGAGAAAGGTTGATAATAAATCTTATCTATTAATTTTATTTTGTTGCAAATGCCCCCCAAAAAACAACGCTTACAGTTTTGCAGTTTTACTTCATATTTACTTCACGTTTGGGAAATGGTTTTTTTGCTTGTCAAAAAAAAAAATCATTTTGACTGAATTTGAATAGAAATGATATAAATAGTAAATTCCTGGAAAATAAAGAAATCGTAAAAAAGAATGTGACTGCACCATATTTTCTGTATATTCACTCTATGCAAATTGCAAATTTTTGCAAACATTTTCCATAAAATCTTGCAAATTTTTACATTTACTCTGGATAACAGCTTGTATTCAAGTTATCTATTTGAACATAATCCATTAGCTTATTGCTCATTTCTGAAAAAAAAGTTTGTGTTATTTAATCATGTTTAATTATATCCTTAACTAAAAAAAGAAAATAGATAATCAATTTGCTTTCTGCTATTAAAAAAATCGTTTTGAGATATAAGAAAATCAGATGGATTCATTTTTTTTTTCAACAAAGAAGACTATATTGGGGCTTATAAAACTAATCAAATCCCCCCCCCCCACCCCCCACCCCCGACATAAATGCAAGTAAAATTGTTGTGAAATTGATTTTTGAAGGGAACTATAGAAACTTGTAATTTAGTCACTTAAAAATCTTAATACACCTCTGGACAAAATTTGAAAATAACTTTTTTATCATTTTAGACGTGGCTGCTCTCTAAAGGAATTGATAAAAACATCATTGGAATTAATGGAATTTTGAATTTAATTGTAGACATCATCACCATTAGCCAAGCCTTGTTTGTCATCAGCACCACTCCTCAAGTTTTGAAACAAATTGAAGGGAAAAATAATAAATTATATATTGTGTGAATTAATTGCATTATTGATTTCTATAATGAATTACAATTTATTGATTCTGTTGTTGAATTTGTTAATTCATTTGAAGAAAGCAACAATTCAATTATTGTGTGCATCAATTCTGCAAATGAATTATGTTATATATCAACAATGAAGTTTGTTGGTTTGTTTATTCATTCCTTAAGCCATATCGCTTATCAGATTACATACTCATTAGGCAATTACAAAATACAAGATGAACATACATCAAATATTTACATACATTGTACACTTGTTTTATCATAATATTATTTGTGTACAATATTTCCAACCAAACATGAAAGAAAAGAATCTTAGTTTACAGATGTGAATCTCTAAGTGCTTCTGCTAATAAAATCATGAAAATGTAATGTGTAAAATATAATTCAGCATTGAAAATTATCTTGAATACTCGGAGATACCTCTAATTGAATTGTTGTGTAATGCATCAAACAATTTGATATCTTAAATTCAAAGGATTAATTAAAAGATACATGCATCTTCAACTATTTACCTACAATAAAAAAGGAGAAGAAAAAAGAAATAACCCTCAATTTCATTTACCGGTATATTGCACAAGGTAACGATTACCAGTATAAATGTCAGTGTCAAGTTTGATAATTATAGATTTCCCAAAGTCATTGCACAATACTCTCTCAGATCGCTGCAACATAAAGAAAAAAAACCCTTGGATTTATTTTAGTTTATTTGTTATCACACCGTGAAGAATTATAGCAGTTATGTTTTATATTTTTTAAAGTATATAAAGTTCCAATAGCTTTCACTACAAAACTCTCTAAGATGACTGCGATGAAAAAAGTACTCAGATTTACATGTTATTCAATATTGTTTATTTGTTGTCACAATTTATGAAGATTTAACTGAATATTGAATTTACATGTTTTTACGTGTACATGTACTTTGAAAAGAATATTTGAATATGGCTACTGTTAAACATATAATTCTGAAAAGATTTTAGGGGCAAATGTCATTTATTGTTAAGTAGCACATTATACATTGTATGTGAATTAAAATGTTAAAATAAATAGGCATAAAACAGACATATAATGAATGAAGAAGACCAGTCGCTTCACTACACTTTATGCCTACATATACAATTATCAAAAAACCCTAAATTGCATTACAGAGCACCATGCAGATTTAGGCCTTGTCTATTTTCCAAAGAAATTAACATGCAAACAAAGCAGTTTTCATACAACATTGCATATTTATAACAAAGTGCACATTAAAATGCATCCAAAAATAAAATAAGCCTCCTCTGCCGCCCAGGAAAAACCATATATTAAAAAATCTTTTAAAATTTGAAAAAAAAATGATGGAAACCTGTGTATCCGCGGCAAATGCAGAGTAAGCAAAAATTTGAGTGGCGGAACCTCACTCTATTTAATTATTAAACAATATTTTCCTGGATTTTGCAATATAGACATAAATTTATATTGATAAAAAACTTGACTTCCTCAGGACAGTGTACATGTGCACTACAAAGTGACCATTTAATAATACCCCTTCAATAATCGAATGTATGCCCATGCAATATATTCTGCAAAAAATTTTGGCAACAGCCTAAATAACTAAAACTTACTAACAAGACATTTCCGTAACATTGTTTACATGTTGTTAGGGCAATTAATTTTTGCTAATACTACATAACACAAAAATTGTTATACTGTACCCGTCCTAAACTTTCCAAATAGTATTAAACATCAAAGGCTAGTGTACAATCACTGACATTAAAAACTTCCCAGGGAAAAACATGATTAAAAAGTCACACATGTTGTACAAGGCAAATGATAAATTCAAGTCTAAGGGGAATGCTAGGGATGCATTCATTTGTTGGAACTATAAACTAGTTAATATTTCAACTGGTGTAATCCGGAAATTAACTGCTGGTGGTGATGATAGCAAGTTTTTCTTGTTCAAAACATCAACAAAAGAAAGAAAGGACCAAAGACTGGAAAATACAAAACCCTTTTCACAAGGTCACAGATCCTTCAAACAAGGTCACAGATCCTTCAAACAAGGTCACAGATCTTCATACAAAGTCACGGATCCTTCACATAACGTCAAAAATCCTTCACACAAGGTCACAAATCCTTCACATAAGATCACAAATCTTTCACACAAGGTCACAGATCCTTCACATAAGGTCAGAGATCCTTCACACAAGGTCACAGATCCTTCACATAGGGCCACTGATCCTTTACACAAGGTAACAGATCCTTAACACAAGGCAACAGAACCTTCTCATAAGGCCACAAATATACTTCACAAAAGGTCAAGGTTCTTCACAAGGTCACAGATCCTTCATACAAGGTCACAGATCTTTCACACAAGGTCACAGATCTTTCACACTACATTCAAGTCACAGATTCTTCACACAATTTCACAGTTCCTTAATACAAGGTCACAAATCCTTCACACTAGTTCAGAATAGAGTTCTATATCTCCTTCAACAATAAATGTCTCTCCTTTTGTTTCTAATGATCCATAACATGAATTTATTCTGTTGAATGCACAACTTTTTTTCTTCCACAAATATCAAGACAGCTCAGATGATTCATAGGGAGTGTTCTATCAAATAAAAAAAAAATCAGTTTAACAAATGAAAAGTCAAAAAGTGATATAGTATAGACTTCAGTACCTATGAAAATAAAAACAATCAAACTACTGAGCTTCAACAATATAAAATCAAGCAATGCATTTCAGAAACAATGTCAATTTTTTTTATGAAACAAGAGGCCCAAAGGCTTTTACAATCACCTGAATGTCACTGTAATTTTTTCTGAGCCAAAGTGTGTTCTTTTTTTCTAAACTACCTTTTTTCAAAAAACTGGAGACAGCTCCATTAAGATTTAAAGGGCATTGATTTACACAAATTTTAACTTAAACTATTTGAGGGCATTTTTGTAGTAATAATACTCTAATTTGACAATTTGAAACCTAATATTTTGGGGAGAGACTTCCAGGAAATATCTATAAGTTCTGGAGAAAAGATAAATTTGTACAAAGTTTACAAAGAAAAGGACGATGACAATGGTGACAACAATCGACAAATTTTGATCAGAAAACCTCGGCTCAGTTGAGCTAAAGAAGTCAAACAGTGCAAGATGTGCCATTGTGTCTTACCATCATGTCATGGATTGGCCACAAGCAATCCCTGAACTTTTGCTGGTAGGTAACTGTCCACTCTTCTTTTAAGAATGAAAACCAGCCCAACCCTGTATGTATTAACAAGAACATATAAAGGTCTAAGTTAAAAGGATTTTCTTGACACTTGGAGAGCTATGTCTTCAGAGAGCCAGAAGCACATCTACATATGAAATATTTTACCATCAATTGTTTGGTTGGCTACACTCGATCCCTCAAACATTTTGTACTCTTTCTGTCAGATGAAAGTAACCAGCTTGTCTCGACATTTACACTAGCACTACACTAGATCTAACCCTGACCTATTAAAAAAAAATATCAAAAAGTCAAAGAATTGCTTACACTTGTAAAGTTGGAAAAAATGATAACAATCAATAAATTGCATTGCATCTTACCGTCTTAAACTGCTCAATGAAAACAGAGAAACAAGAGATCAAAAGAAGTTGCTATCTCAAAATAGTAAGGATGAACACCCAAAAATCTAGAGAGTACGGGCATTATGACGTGAATCTTACCCTTTATTCCATGGTTTGCCACAATTGATCCCTAATCTTAAGACTCCTCCTGACAAATAATGGAGTCATATCTCACACTGGGATTGAAACTTGCCTAACCATTCTCCTGCTAACACAAAAAGTAAGATAGATGGCCAAAGGCGTAATTCTAGCTGTTTTGATCAAGTTACAATTAAAACAAGGGATCCAAAAGAGCAACAAAAGCAGCTTGTTAATTACCACATTGGCCAACATTTTTTGCTGGTCATAGCT